CCCCAGGCCATGCTCCACAGAGAGTGGTGTTTTTAAAACACGTGCTAGACCATATTACTTCCCAGCTCGAAACTACCCAATGACTTCCCTTAGAGTAAAATCCACAGTCCTTATCGTGGCCTTCAAAGCTGTCCATAACCCAGTCCCTATCTGACTACTCCACTGCATCTTCGACCCTTCTTGCTCCTCCATTCCACCCACACAGGTTTTCTTGCTTTTCCTTCGACACACCAGGCCCATATCCATCCCAGGACCTTTGTACTTACTGTTAGTTCTACTTTGACTGGAATAAACTACACCCCCCCACACACCAAGATCTCAGCATGCTTGCTTAGATCTCTGATTAAATGTTATCTCTACAGAGTGACTGTCCCACCAGCTAATCTAATAGTCTTCTTCCCATTCCTCTCTTCTGCCTATTAGCCCCTAATACCTACCTTTTTTGTGTGTGTGTGAGAAAGATCAGCCCTGAGCTAACATCCGATGCCAATCCCCCTCTTTTTTGCTGAGGAAGACTGGCCCTGGGCTAACATCTGTGCCCATCTTCCTCTACTTTATATGGGACGCCACCACAGCATGGCCTGACAAGCGGTGCATCGGTGCGCGCCCGGGATCTGAACCTGCGAACCCCGAGCTGCCCAAGTGGAACGCACACACTTAACCACTGCGCCACTGGGCTGGCCCTAATACCTGCCTTTCTTTATCTTTCTTCCTAGTACTTCTCTCTACTGAAATCGTAGTGTATACTATGTCTGTTTACTGTGTATCATTTCTCCCTCACCAGTGAGACCTTTGTCTTGTTGACCACTGTATTCCTAGTATCTGGCACGTAGTAGGAGCAAAAAAGGTATTTATTTGTTGAACGAATGAATGGATGGATAGTGGTTTAAAAAGCATGCTCTGGAGTCCAATTGCCTGGGTTCAAATCCCGTTTCCACTACTTGCTAACTCTGATCTTTGGAAAGTTACTTAATTTCTTTAAGCCTTTTTCTTCTTTAACATGAGGATAACAATGGTACCATCTTCATAGGGTTGTTGGGAAGATTGAGATAATCCATGTTAAACATTAAGAACAGTTCCAGGCACAAACTAAGCTAAAACACAAGGATGGTCAGCGGGGAGAGAACATTCTAGAACAGGGGAGGGCCAGCACAGTGCCTTTATAAATATAGGACATATATTGAACTAGTTGGGACTTTTTATAAACAAAAAAGCTGCTGATAAATATATTATTTTTAGTGGGCTTTTCATAATTATCCTAGTTTTCACCATGAAATCAACAGACCAGTAGTATCTGCATCTCTTTATCCATTTGTTGTAGGAAAATCCAACACTTAAGGGTTTTTCTGGTGACCTACAAAATGTCCTTTTTGGAAGCTCATATGCAGCCTGGTTTGGGGAAGAGAAGGCCAATTCAAGAAATGGTCTTGGTATTTGAACTACCAGTGCTTGCAGAAATTTCCCCTGGTCAAAATGCAGTTAAAGTTAGGTCCATAGCATTATAGGAGATCTTTTTATGTCAGCTTTGCTGTTGCTGAAGCACAACCAGAGCCTTTAGGGAAGGTTATCCTCATACTTTTAACAGTCAGAATCAAAGGATTTTTTTCATTGGTAGTTTGACCAGCTTGTAAACTTATTCTTGAGGAACTCCTCAAAAATGAGCCAGTCACAAAAAGCCAAAACTGTGTGATTCCACTTATATGAGGTACCTAGAGTAGTCAAAATCATAGAGATAGAAATAGAATGGTGGTTGCTGAAGGTGGGGGAATGGGGAGTTATTGTTTAATGGGCATAGAATTTCAGTTTTACAAAATGAAAAGAGTTTTGGCGAGAGATGGTGGTGATGGTTGCACAGTATTATGAATATTTCATACTACTGAACTATACACTTAAAAATGGTTAAGATGGTAAATTTTTTATGTGTATTTTACTACAATAAAAAATTGGGAGAAAAATTCTCAAGATAAAATATTAACATTTTTTTCTACTTGTTGAGTTTTAGGAAACCAAGAGTCTTTCTCTTTTTGCTGAAGGAATCCTGTATAATGCATAGGTTTTTTAGGGGAAAAAACTCCCCCCTCCCCAGCCTTTTATTTTGAAACATTTTAAACCTACCAAGAAGCTGAAAAAATAGTACAGTGAACCTTTGTATACCCATATTTATATATTTTTTCTGAATCGTTTGAAAGTAAGTTGCAGACATCATGACAGTTTACCCCTAAATATGTCCATCTGTATCTCCTAAAATCAAGGATATTCTCTTAATACCATTATCCCATCCAAGAAATTTAATACTAATTCAATATCGTGTAATATACAGTCCATTTTCAAATTTTCCTAGTCGTTTAAAAAATATGTATGTTATAAGTGTGTGTGTGTTTTAATCCAAGATTCAGTTGAGGTTTATATATTGCATTTGGTTTTATCTTTCATTACATTGGTATTTTTGAAGAATCGAGACCACAATCTGATTTGTCTGGTTGTTTCCTCAAGATTAGATTTAGGTTAAACATTTTTGGTAAGAATGCTATAAAGATGATGTTGTGTACTTGAATTGCATCACATCAGTAGACATAAAATGTCAATTTGTCCTATTATCAGTAATGTTCAAGTTTAATAAATTTAGTTAATGTAATGTTTCCTAGCTCTTTCTCCTTCTTATTAGTAGGTTTCTGGGGTGGCACTTGGGATTGTGTGAATATTCTGTTTTCCATCCACCTTTCACTCAGTTGTTTTTAGCATTTATTAATGATCCTTGCCTGATCATTACTGAGTCAGTTACTGTATCTGGGGTTGCAAGATAGTGATTTTTTAACTGTCGTTCCCTCTGCATTTATTAACTGGCTTTTTTGGGGGGGGTGGAGGGAGCAAAGAAGAGCTTTCCTTTTTTCTCTCCTTCTTGCAGTATCACTATGGACTTATGGATCTTTTTATACTCAATGTGCTATATATTTTTTATTATTCTTATTTATTAGCCAGTGGGAGTCTGTATCCTTCCGAAATGGCCCCCATCGGTCTTTGAATACTTCCGTGCTTTCTGACACAAGATACTCTGGGTTCACCTTGTACTTGCCTTACTCCAAACCTGGAATCAGTCATTTTCCCAAGGAGCCCTGGTTCCTTTTGTTGGGGAGTGATATTTAGAAACCAAGATCTAGGTGCTAGGTATATTTAAAAAATAAACTTTTTAAAACATTGCCTGTCATTTTAATAGTGTGTTACCATTTAAGAGGACTTGCACGTGTTTTTAAATGGTTCGTTATTTGATCCTTCCTGCAGTCCTGTGTTATAGGCAGGTCAGATACTAAAATCTTCATTTTAAAGATGACAAAAGTGAGGTGTAGAGAGGATTTAATTTTCCCAGGATTATAAGACTAGTAAGAGCAGGTGCCAGGATCAAAACCAAAGTCATTTACCTGCTAGTTTAATATTTTTTCTTTTTTTTGCCACGGTATATAGTCTCCTAAAAAGTTTGTTTAGATAAAGCTGTGTCACTGGCTTTTTGGTCTATGCCAGAGAGAAAGCTTCCTTTGTGAGACTAAATGATAAATGACGAGAACCTTGAGAATATTTGCATCTTTCTTAGCATTGCCATTGGGAGCTCCTTTTTTAATGGAGTTTGCTAAGAGGCTTTCAGTGGTCCTCCATAATACATAGAATATTTGATTTGTGACTTGGAGAGCTCTGTTTGAAAACAGTACATGGTCGTACCTAAGCCCTTTGTCTCATGACAGCCTATAATCGGGTCACTCCCAAAGAAGCAGGAAACCCAGGCAGTATATTTTATTTATTTATTTTTTATTTATTTTTCCCCCAAAACCCCAGTAGATGGTTGTATGTCGTAGCTGCACATCCTTCTAGTTGCTGTATGTGGGACGCGGCCTCAGCATGGCCGGAGAAGCGGTGTGTCGGTGCGCGCCCGGGATCCGAACCCGGGCCGCGAGCAGCGGAGCACGCGGACTTAACCGCTAAGCCACGGGGCCGGCCCCCAGGCAGTATATTTTAAAATGCTCTGCTTATGCTATGATTTGGGATTTTATTATGTGAAGGTCTCTTCTCTTAACCTTACTTGTTTTATTTTCAAAAAATGCAAGCTTTTTTTGTCAACACTCCAAGGAACTTTTTTCCCTAATCTCTCCCCACCATGAAATTTTAATAACTCAGATATATGAGATATCTCTTTACATACTGTATGTATATTTGTGCTTTATACATAAAAAGAGTAAGTTTTTTATCCCTCGAGAACCATTTTTTGCCCTCTTCAGGGTGAAGTTACCCTCATTGAGAATGCATGGAGTAGATGGAGAAATTAAGTGTAAATCTCATTTGTATTACAGTTTTACATTTTGTGTTATAATAGTATATTTTAAAATAAAATGTCTTTCTTGGATAACTAAATCCAATGTATAGACTTTTTCAATCCTAATAGTACTGTGATCTTTTGGTTACCTGAAGGCTGAGTTCATCCTACACCTGCAAAAATAGTAATATTTCATCCATAGGGAGCTTCAGAGTCTATGGTTCTAATTTTTTCCCATCCAAACAGCTAGGTAATTGAACTGTTGGTGATACTGGTGAATTTAATCTTATCGTGAATTTAATCTTTTCTGGCATTGTTTTTCTCTGAAATTCGTTGATGTGTAAAGGTACTACTTAAGTGTATTTTAGCATTTAAGGGACACATGCATTTTTTCCCTCAAAATCCCCCCTTTCTCTACCACAATCCCAAGTAAAGAACTCTTGAGTCTGAGGAAGCAGAAAGAGAGAGATGACAGTTAAATTTTTTTTTTAGCATTTACCCATTACAGACTATCTTATGTGCTTTGTGGTTTTTTCCTAAGTATTTCTCTGTACATGTCTTTTTATTGTTGTTCCATGTGTCTGTCTTCTTTTCTTTGTCTTTTGCTTTGTCTACTTTTCCCAATATTCCTTTCATTTCTCTTTTCCTTCCCTCTTATTTCCTCTCTCTCCTACATGTTATCTCCTTTCTTTTCATTCAGGACTATGAGAGTAAATTGCAGGCCTTGCAGAAGCAGGTTGAGACCCGATCCTTAGCTGCAGAAACAACTGAAGAGGAAGAAGAGGAGGAAGAAGGTGAAATTTAGAGACTGAAACTTTCCTATGTATATCTTTTGGACTTGTGATCAAAGCTGGATTTGATCATAGTTGACCCTACTCTTTATTGATATTTTACTGAGTCAATTTAACGATGATTTAAAAGATGCTCAGTGAGAATCCACGCCATGTTCTATGAGGTAGGAGTAGGGCTGATAATGTTCTTTAGAACACATGATTTCTGAGCAATCTCCATATAAATCTCTTGGGAAATTTACATATACTGTCTCATATTACTGTACATATGAAGTTAACATATATGTTACAAATAAATATAGAGCTTAATCTTTGTTAAGCTATTCTGTTCTATTTGCTGGTTTATGGTTTATGTCAAGGATTTCCCAGTGAGGACTTTGGAATATATCAGTGTACATTAAAGTATTTCTGACAGATTTCTAATCACATTGCTTAGTCATGCCTACCTGTCTTAAGTTTTCCAGAATTTCTTAGCTGAATTAGAGCTTTATTTATTCTTTTTGTGAGGAAGATCAGCCCTGAGCTAACATCCATGCTAATCATCTTCTTTTTGCTGAGGAAGACCGGCTCTGAGCTAACATCTATTGCCAATCCTCCTCCTTTTTTTTTCCCCAAAGCCCCAGTAGATAGTTGTATGTCATAGTTGCACATCCTTCTAGTTGCTGTATGTGGGACGCGGCCTCAGCATGGCCGACAAGCGGTGCGTCCGTGCGCACCCGGGATCCAAACCCCGGGCCGCCAGTAGCGGAGCACACGCACTTAACTGCTAAGCCACGGGCCGGCCCTGAATTAGAGCTTTAATTGTTAGTTAGTGCCTTATAATACAGTATGAACATTCATCACATTTCATTTCTTCATCCAACCTCTCAGTAATCTCAGGGCTTCAAATTAACTTTGAAGGAACTCTTAATTTATGTAGTAAATTCTTTATTTTTCAGTATTGAAGTAAAATATGACCTTTTCCCCCTGTACTGGAAAGAAAAATAGATATATATGAATTTGTAAAACATACTAGTTTTTCTTTATTATAAGCCACACCTTAGCTATGTATCTTTAAAAAAAAAGGAAGAGAAATCTATTTCTTTGATGTACTGTTTTAAATAAACAATAGGGTTTTTTTAGGTTTTCTGAAATGTATATACTGCTTTTATAATATCAACAGAATTTAGTAAGGTTTACTGAAAAGAAGAAAACTAAAGCAGCTGAATGGAGAAAAACTGGAAAATATCTTAATGTGATAAAAGAGATGACTTAGAGGAGGGATGTAATTTCTGCACAGTTATGAGATTAATTATGCGTCGTTTGCTCTTTCAGTTCCCTGGACACAACATGAATTTGAGCTGGCTCAGTGGGCCTTCCGGAAGTGGAAGTCTCACCAGTTTACTTCATTAAGGGACTTACTCTGGGGCAATGCTGTTTACCTGAAGGAGGCCAATGCCATCAGTGTGGAACTGAAGAAGAAGGTACGGAGCGGGGTGGGGAGAACGTGGCCATCTGGAGGCGAAGCTGGGCCTGATGGGGTTCACGGCTCTCATCTTGAACTGACCTTTCCCTTGGGTGAACTCAGCTGCTTTTTGCTATGAAACAGGTTTATATATGCGTTTATTTTATGTATGTGCCTGGAACATATGCATAGTAGGCACTAATTAAATATTTATTAAATGAAATTTTAAAAGTAATATGTTTTATACCTTATGTTACAAATGAGGAGACTGTATCCCTGACAAGAGCTAGAGAAACTTAATAGTAGAAAAATGTTTCTCTTGGGTTTCTGAAAATCTCAATTTTCTTTTAGTTTTCTAGCATTAAGTTTGCATCTGTGTGCCCCCTCCTCTTCTAGGGTCTGAGAGGCAGTTTTGTGTAGTGGACAAACACGTGCACTCTGCACCCAGACAGCAGGTTCCAAGCCTAGCTCTCCTAGTTGTGTTGACCCTGATAGCCCCGTGCCTCCATTCTCTCATCTACGAAATGGGCTTGGCAACAGTGTCTGCTACCCAGGGATTTTGTGAGGGATGAAAGAGTGAATACATGCTGAAATAGTGCCTGGACATGGTAAAAGGCAGTTAATGTTACTGATTGTCTTAATTATTACCAAGATGTCACACCACATCTTAGATTCATTCTTCTATATATCCCACTGTGTAATAGTCTCCTGATTACTACAGTTACAGTGGGGGGCAATTCTGCATAGTAGGTAAGAGCACAGACTGCCTGACTTTGGGAAAACTCATGATCTTCTAGGGCTGTATTCTAGTTCTGTAAAATGGGGATAAGATGTCTTCTTCATTCATAATCTTGGCAACCCATCTCATTTTGTAATTCTTTATTATCTCCTCTCTCTCAAGTAGACTAAATGATGGCAGCATCTGTCTTTTTTTGTTCCTACTGTACATAGCATTTAATTAATATTTGCTGGTGAAAATATAGAGTGGTAGCGTGAAATAAATGACATAATGCATGCAAAGCACTTACCATATAGTAAACACTTTTAAGAGTAGTAGTTGTAATCTTCTGGGTTTAAAATGGAAAACCGTGACATGTTGCCACCTTCTCTCATTAGTGAGAGACTAGAGATGCGTTCTTGGGTCCACCTTTTTTTCTCTTATATAAGTTCTTCAAAAGTCTTCATTCAGTCAACCAAAGTATATTTGAGATTTTAGTTTGTGCAAAAATGCTGTGCCAGGCTAGGAAAACGAAGTCTGTAAATAGCTTAATTTGAAATTATTATTATTCTCAATGATTAATGTACAAGGGGCCACTTTTTTCAGTCAGTCACCAGCTGTTTGTTGAGCACATACTAAGGTGCTTGACCTCTTTCCCTTTGGACGTGGTTATATCGCTTTGTTTCTGAAACTTACTTGCTGAAAACATAAAGGCCATTTGTTGATGGTTTATTCTTTCCTTTTAGGTGCAGTTTCAGTTTGTTCTGCTGACTGACACGTTGTACTCCCCTTTGCCTCCTGAATTACTTCCCACTGAGATGGAAAAAACTCACGAAGACAGGCCTTTCCCTCGTACAGTGGTGGCAGTGGAAGTCCAGGATCTGAAGAACGGAGCAACACATTATTGGTCTTTGGAGAAACTCAAGTATGAAAACATTATTCATAAAGCTATTTGTGTTAGTTAGGAAATAATAATGAATTGCTCAAGTGTGCTCCCTCAGATGTTTCTCCCTGTGATATCATTATTGCTTCCTTTTCTGTGCTGCTCAGTGCTGTTGCTGACCAGTGATAGTACTATCGATCTGTTTATTCCTAAGTGAGTGAATCCCACTTCACAAACACCTTTGTCATTTGCAGATATTATTTAAGTTTAGCCTCCATAGATCCTCTTATATTTTAAATGTTCCAATTTCATGATATCTGTTTCTTTCTTGGATCTAGTAATTAATCATCTTTTCTGTCCTGGATCTCATGATGATCCGTAATCAACAGGAAAGTTATGATGTAGCTTCCTTTGCATTTAGTATGATGGGATATTTTCTGCTATTCCATTATATTTGAGATGTCATACACATTGAACTACATTTCTCCTATGACTCAGTAGAGGTTAGGTGGCTATTCTTGACTTTTAGGGGCTTGTCTCTAAACTCAGACACTTTGGATACTCAGTGTTTTGGTTTCTGTACTTTTGGCCTTCATTCTTTTTTAATATCATTAAATGGTGGGAGCAGCTTTTTTTTTAAATCTTGCATGCAAGATACTTCCAAAGTGAAATATTAATGCACTCTTATGATATTAACCCAGTGTGCTTTCTGTTTACTGTGCAGGCAGAGGCTGGCTTTGATGCGAGAGATGTATGACAGGGCAGGGGAGATGGCCTCCGGTGCCCAGGATGAAAGCGAAACCGCTGTGACTGGCAGTGACCCATTTTATGATCGGTTCCATTGGTTCAAACTTGTAGGAAGGTATGTAGTGAGTCTATTGATGTCTTCTTTTTAACTAATGAATGGTTTTGTTTTAATTGCTTAAAACCTCAGCAGGTATTATAGAAAGTTAAAAGAAAAAGAGTATAAGAAAGCCCCATTTATAATCTTATCCATTCATTCACAACCACTGTGTCGTTTGGTATATTTCCCTTTGGTGTTATTCAACATGCATATTTGTTTTAAGTCTCAAACTTCCAAGCAAAGTAATTGCAAGTCTTGCCTGCTTCTCAGCTCATTCACAAAATGTCTTACAGTTGAACAAGATAGATTTAAAAGAAAACCTACGTCTGTATCCTGCACAGTTTAAAATCATAGTACGACTTACAACTTAGCGGACTACAACCTCTCCATGATCTGATATGTCCTCACTTTTTTTTTTAAAGCAATTCATCTTACTTTAGCCTGCCAAGAGTGAATTAATTGCACACCTTGGTGTAGCCCACTTGAGCCTCTTTTGTGTATATGTTACTTTCAACATTTAATGAAAACAAATAGTGCCCCTGTGAGTCCGTATTGAGTCAAGTTCTTAGAGGCTTAGAAAAAGCAGAGAAATATAAGGTTTGAGCTTAATGATTTCAGAATTTGTATTGTTTTTCAATTGCAAAAACTTTCTGATAGTTTTAAAGGAACTGGGTAAAAAGGAGGAGCTGAAGTCATAGAATTTTGTAGAAATGAAGTAAATCTTTTCCACTCCACTCTGACAGTAGTGTTTTTAAAGAGAAGAACTGGCCATGCACATGTTACTCAAGCAAGGCACATACTTGCTTTGCTGTATACCATTTCATCCATTTTGTTTTCTGTTCCAAGATGACGTAGAATGAAGATTTAAACCTTATTATTTCACCTAATGTAGAGTGGCTCCTTTGAGGCCTGGCTGCTGATCTTTTGTGTAAACTGGAGACCATCAACATTTTACAGTGCATTATTTATCTGAGATATTCTGCTCGTGTATTTCCTTTGCTTTTCTTATTCTAAGGATCAGTCCTTGTTCCCTTTCACCTGAACCAGATGATTTATGCTTATTTTATCCTTTTGCTTTTCCACTTGCTTTTATTGTGTTGATTCCCCAGTGGGTTCTATCCTGTTGGCACCTATAGCTTCCTGTTTAACCAACTATTCCTCTTTCCTTGGCTGTGTCAATCGGCGTCCTACCTCGTGTCTAGCTCCCCCATTTTCCACGGCTGTGTGAATGAGCGCCTTGCTGACCGCACACCCTCCCCCACTTTTTCCACGGCCGATTCCGACATCACTGAGCTGGCTGACGAGCAGCAAGATGAGATGGAGGATTTTGATGATGAGGCATTCGTGGATGACACCGGCTCTGACGCAGGGACGGAGGAGGGATCAGATCTCTTCAGTGACGGGCATGACCCGTTTTACGACCGATCCCCATGGTTCATTTTAGTGGGAAGGTTGGTGAGGTTATTGTGAGAAAGGCAAAAAGGGACCAGCTCTTGCTCTAAAGAGGCTCCTTGTGCAATTTTGGATGATCTTGCTTTAGCCAGTTCCATTCGTGACATGCTGACCTGGCTAGAGAGAGCCCTCAGGCAGTGTTTGTGAGGTACTTGGTCTACTCAGTACAGCATACAGCAATGTGTGGAGACTCTCCATGGAGGAACACTAGTCTTAAATTGCCCAGTAATTTTCTCCTGAAGGAGGAAACTCCAGAGGAGAAAGTAATTCCAGTTAAGAGTTAAATGTTACAGGTTCGAAGAATGTTATTGTGGTCTGATGTTTCCTTTCTGTGGTAATGTGAGTGAAGAAACATATGGGGATAACTTGAGAAAGGAGAGCAAAGCAAGTCCAACATTAGGCTACAGGATTCGTGGCACCAGCAGGAATCAAGAGGTCAAAAGTGGAATGTGGAGTAGCATTAGGTTTGTTTTTTGCTTAGTCTATGAGTCCAAAAAAGAATCAGGAACATGAAGTTTTCTCTTTGTCTAAAATGTATGCCTTTCTTTGGCCAGTTTCACTGAGCCTGTCTATAGATCTTTGGCTTCTGCTAAAATTTTACCTTTAGGCTCTATAATGATGAATCTCATAAAATTATCTGTTGACACCATCAACAATAGATATTGTTCAGTGTTACATGAAACTGCTTTGTGTTAAGTTTAGTTGACCAGAATGAGGCATTGTCTCTGGCTCCATCTGTCAGTGATGCAGAACTCACATGCACAGTTCCTAATACTGATGTCTTTGTCTACAATGCAGTCTTCATGCTGAAGTAATTTTAATTACAAATTCAACGGTGCAGCGCTCACTGGATTAACAAAAAAGTATGGCCAGGGTTTAAGGTATTAAATTTAATTTTATTGGTGCATTAGAACCCCATATTGTTGAATCCTTTAAAAATAAGGGAATTATGTCAGTGTTAAATGGCTAAGCACCAGTTATCTAAAAATTAAAGTGCAGCAAGTCTCCTGACCCAGTAGAGACAGGAGGTTCTAAAACTTAGCTTATAGTATGGTGTTGCTTACCTGGTTAGAACTAAATAAATAACGTAGATGATGATCACTGTTATGGAAAGGGGGGAAAGAAAGGCTTTTTGATAGAAATGAAAGCCTCAATTATGACTATCGGTTGTAGCAGTAGATGGTCTCAGGGTTTTACAATGGCAAAGGGGCATTTATTCAGTTTTTCCACGTATAAACATAAAGGGATTGTACAACCATGAATATTGTTTTCTGCTCGTGTATTGCCAGGAATAGATGCTTAGAATTTCAGAGAAGCTGATTTATATTAAAAGTGAGAAAAGTAGGTCCAAGTACAAACAATGGGATCATAATGCTTTCCTTATTTTATTGCTGGCTGTGTCCTTCAGCACATTTCTACCCTATTCTAAGAGAGTCAGAAGTTAGAATCAAGTTTCTATCCATACGGCTTGGTCCGGGTGCCAGTTGTGCAGCTTCTAACGCTGCTCACTGTGTTTTACGCCATCGCACAGTGAGGAATAGGTAGCTTCATCTTACATGGCACAGTGCGAAGAACACTGACCTAGTTGTCAGGAGGAGCCTAACTTAGGACAGGCAACTTAAACTGAGGCCTATTGGCTTCATTCTCAAGTGTAAAATGGAGAGTTAGGTAGAAGAAAAAGAGCCTTAAAGATCTTTTTGATCATTCAGATTCTGTCATCCACACTAGCAAAATGAATATTTGCTATTTGTATTGTGAGTCAGTTGTATGGAAAACTTAAGTCAGAATCCCACGTAATGTGGGAATTCACTAACTTAAGATATATGTATTATTTTCTCTGTTTTTATTCATTTTAATCATATCACATTTAAGTGTAGGTATAAAGCAATAAACGTTACTTTGAGTTGCAAATAAAATACTTATGGAGCTATGGCTCAGGAATTGACATTTTTGTTTGGGTTCCCATGTTCTAAAACTAACTTTGCTCTGCAAGAAAGAGGTTAGGGGTGGAGGTGAAATCATAAAGTGAAGGATAATCAGTAAAGTGAAGGATAGCTCTTGATTTTCACCCTTGACTACATTTCTCATCTACAAACAAAGTTTATAATAATGCAACATTACCCAGTTATGTAGAGGTCATTGTATGTGTAAGAAGAGTAACTCCTTTCTTGTTCTTTTAATTCACTGGATTGAATTTCCCCTATTGGCACATAATTTCAAAAAAAAAGTTACTTGTAAAATTTTCCAGTTTCTTATGAAATTCCATTTGTAGATTTTGTTTCTTGGCCTTGGCTGCCTCTGGTGAATTTTTATATGAAAATAAAAGAGCTTGTCCCTTTAGCTATTCTCTTATGGCATGCTGGGATGTTTTGAACCATCCATCATAATTGGGATGAAATGTAAAATATTTAAGCTAGTCGTCTAGGTTAAAAGGGGGCAAAAGATAGTTATTCTGTGACCTAAGTACCTGAACTGACATTCTTTCTGTAGCTAGAACCATAGTTATGCTGATTTTTCTTATCTTTATGTTGACAAAATTTGTTTCCCTTTTTGATGTAACTTCACAGAACTTTCTGCTAATGTATCTTTTACATCATCCCCTCTCTCATCCCTGTTCTCCTTCAGTCTGCTAGGTCAAGGTATAAGAACTCTCAAGAATGTAGAGTCATTATAAAAATTTCAGTTTAAAAAACTTCAAAGGAGAACTTTTATACAGCATTGGTTTGGGGCTGAGGACTATGTACTGATTATAGGACAAGGAGCTGTCTAGTGATTGTGCTGTTGTGTAGTCACAGTGCCAGTGCCCCTCCCTGCCACTGCCGTAAAACTATAGAATTCTCTTTTCTAAAAAGGAAATCTATAAAAGTACTTCCTATTCTTCCACCTTTGGAACAGTCATTGCCATAGGCAGAAAGGAGATTCTCGTCTTTAGTATGTGCTCAAATAGAACTTTACTGTAATGTGCGTGTGTGTGTTGCTGTACCTTCAAGTGGTAAGCTTTTTTAAAATTAAAAACAGGAGTTCCTGTTTTTGAATAGCTGTATTTTTTGTGTGAGGAAGATTAACCCTGAGCTAACATCTATTGCCAGTCCTCCTCTTTTGTGCTGAGGAAGATTGGCCCTGGGCTAACATTCACGCCTATCTTCCTCTACTTTATATGAGACGTCGCCACAGCATGGCTTGATAAGCAGTGTGTACGCCTGAGGTCCGAACCTCTGAACCCCAGGCTGCCGAAGCGGAGCACTCCGAACTTAACCGCTAGGCCACATGGTTAAGTTTGGTGTGCTCCACTTCGGCAGCCTCGGTTTACAGTTTTGGATCCTGGGTGCGGACCTAGACTACTCATCAGCCATGCTGTGGTGGCGACCCACATATAAAATAGAGGAAGATTGGCACAAATGTTAGCTCAGGGCCAATCTTCCTCGGCAAAAAAAAATAATAATAATAATAATAATAATAGTAATAACTATACAAATTAAGTATAGTTAGGAATCTAAACACATTCTATATAGGTAATATCCAAGATGAGTATGGCTTTGAAAATCAACCTAGTATAAAGTTGAATGGCTGTGCTTCTCTACCTCTGGTATAACCCATTTTTCTGAAGAATCTTCCACTTCTACTTAAAGGACAAATTATTTTCCTGTTCATTTATGTTCATAGATGTTCAGTCACTCACCAGATATTTATTGAGTGTATTTACTTAATAAATATTCCCGGCCCTCTGCAGACAAAACCAGCTTGGTTCCTGCCCCTTACAGTCTGGTGGGTGAGACAGACAAATTAAATAATCATATAAATAAATGTAAGTCATAGCAATGATGGAATCATGTGTGTTACTGAGATCATATAACATTGGGGGGACCTGTCATGAGAGAGTGGTGTTTGGAATAAGACCTGAAGTTGTGAAATCAAAGGCATGAGGTGGGTAGTAGAGTTCAGAGAGGACTCCAGGCAGGGACATGAGCACATGTGCTGTGCTGGCTCTCTAATGGCCCCGGCATTGAAAGTGGGCACCTCTGGCTGGGATGCCATTCAGAGATGAAGGTGGTCTGTATGTGTGTGGACTTTGGAAGTGAAATTATCCATTTGGTACCTTATGCCAAATTCTTAGTCTTTAAACTCTGTCACAGTAGTTGATATTTGAGAGTCTCATTTGTAATCCTTTTCAGAAGACACTTCATTTTTAAATTTTGTAAACAAAGCTTTAACCTGTTTCTTAGCATTGCCTTCCCCACCTTTGGAGCAGACTGAAAGGGAAGTGGACTTCATTTGATCTGATTCAGTGTTCACTTGCAGTTATTTTTGTTATCTTTTTCATTCATATTTCATTTATACTCTTAAAGTTTTATTAACATTTGTTTTTCTGTGTTGTATTTTGTCTATTTTCAGAATTGTTTTCATTACTTTGAGTTGAAATCTCAAGAATCCACTCCATCTTCCTTTTCTCTTTGTTTTGAAGTAGATTTCAGAGAGCAGAGAGCAGGAAAAGAAGCAGACAGGCATATGTGTCACGTTTAGTTATGTTTGATTTCTTGATGCAAATGTTTACTTTTTGTCTTGTCTTGTGTTCAAAGATCAGCATATACCCAGTGGGAAGACAGGAGTAACAGCAGGAACTAGATTTTATTTCCCATCCACTAATTGGAATGAACACTCTTAAGCTTTGTGATCACCAGTTTTTATTGCTTTAAAAAAAATCAATAGCTACAAAATAATGAAAGAAGAAAAAAGTACAGATGTGATAGGATTTTGCTAGTTCGTTTGAAATAGAAAATGTTAGGTCTGTAACTTACCTTTTTTATTTGCATTTCTGAATTAGATTTTTTAGACTTCAGGAGCAAAAGCCACCCTTTAGGGATCAGTGATTTTCTTCTCCCTTGGGATTTATCTTGATGCCCATCTAGAGTCTCCTATAAGCTCGCTACTCAGAAACTTCAGGCTAGGGGCTGGCCCGGTGGTGTAGTGGTTAAGTTCGCGTGCTCCACTATGGCAGCCCAGGGTTTGCGGGTTTGGATCCTGGCGTGAATCTATACGCCGCTCATCAAGCCACGCTGTGGTGGCATCCCACATACAAAATAGAGGAAGACTGGCACAGATGGGAGCTCAGTGACAATCTTCCTCAAGCAAAAAGAGGATGATTGGCAACAGATGTTAGCTCAGGGCCAGTCTTCCTCACCAAAAAAAGAAAAAAAAGAAACTTCTGGCGACATAGCCTCTCTGCCCATATGCGTCAGTCACACTGCCTAAAGATAATAGTCATTTCTTAGAGTGAAAATAAAGACCTGTAACGCTGTGACTTGAAATCTGTTTTAGAATGTATTAACTGTATTTCAGTCACATTTCCTTGCCTTTTTTGTTTCCTGATTTCTGTTTTATCTATTGGGAAAAACAAAACCAAACCTCTTTATAATTTCCTACATTAAAAGGTTAAGCTCTTTAGTGAGCTCCTTTTTCCCTACCTTTAGCAGTATTCATAGAGCAGTATCTTGAAAGTCTACTTCCAATTGTTACTCTTTTACCTACAGTGGTAATTTTTATAGGGAGTAATTTGGTGTCAGTTGGTCTTTGTCGGCTACTTTACCAAGCATTTGCATTTGTTTATATATGGTCTGTGCTGAAAGAGCAACTGGGGGCAGTCTAAGTACAGAACAGAGAGGTGATCTTAAGATAAGACCCAGAAGCCAGCTCACAGTTTCATGAAGATATCCTCAGTAAATCTGAAATCCAGCTTCTCTGTCTGTGGGGTGCTCAGATGTTTGTCTCCCTGTTTCTGTCTCTAGGGCATTTGTTTACCTGAGCAACCTGCTGTATCCCGTGCCCCTGATTCACAGGGTGGCCGTTGTCAGCGAGAAGGGTGAAGTGCGGGGATTTCTTCGTGTGGCTGTACAGGCCATTGCAGGTGGGTGACCCTATTCTGAAATTAGAGCTGTGGATTCTTTGCCGAGAGACAAAGCAGGCTAATGCTATATGGGCCAGGCTTCAGTTACACGTACAAACTGTGGTGCGTTTGTCTGTCTTGGAGAAAGCTTTTATTGCTTCCTTTCTAACTATTGTTCCCAAGGATCATAAATCGATTCTGTTTAGTCTGGGTTACAGCTATTTTGGAATAATGGGGTAAAGGGATTTCCTTTAACATGAAGAACAACTCTTAGATTAACTTTATAAAAGTCATTTGCATTTTAAATATTGTATCTTAACTGCTTCAGAAGTAACAAAGGATTTTCAGGACTTTTTCTTGCCAAATTTTCTCTCAGGGTACTTCTGCTAGACATTTCTGTCCTTTGGCTACTATTTTATAATGCATGGATCAAGATTCTGATACTTGACACTTTTCCATGATCCAGCCTACATTCCGAGGAACGAATGTGGCTGTTTCCTATAATTTTTCTGTTTTAATTTCTAAACACTATGCTGTGTTTAGTGACCTCTTAGCTTTTCCCCCATGGCAATCTGTGACATAGTCACCAGTGTTGAGTTTATGGAATTTTCCATAACTATAGTCTAATATTTTCGAATATTTTTTGAGTATTGTTGAATATAATTTTGCCAAGTGAAGGGGGCATATTTCTAGGTATGACATTTGAACAATATCGAGCATAAAACTGATTTCTTTGTTCACTAGTCTCATTTGAGTTAAAGAATTGATAAGTTTACCTGAGTAGAATTGGAAGCAGCCCATGTGATTTTACTGCTTCGGTCTCCTTTCTTTCTTATGCAAAAAACTTGTTCTTTAGTGTCTCCTCTTGTGCTAAAGTTCTTGAACCCTGAATCTCCACTACTTTCCTATTTATTCTATAATCCAATAAGAGTCATTGCCCCTCTGCCCTATATGTAGTCTCATTCTATCTCTTGCTTATTTTTTGCTTATTTTTTTTTCTACTTAGCGGATGAAGAAGCTCCTGATTATGGCTCTGGAATTCGACAGTCGGGAACAGCTAAAATATCTTTTGATAACGAGTACTTTAATCAGGTGAGAAGCCTTCCAGGAAGAGGAAAACCTTATGGAAGGAGAAAGAAGTACACAGGTTTATAAGCAGGAGGTTCAGCACTGGAGAACAATTCTTCTACCTAGAACTAAAAAGTATAGGTAACCACAGGGTTGTTGAGTAGAATATGGGACATGTTGAACAATCACAACGGTAAAGGTGAATGCCCAACGTTTCTATTGTATTGTATTGCCTTTTCTCACGCAGCTCTTAATCGACATAATTTTCCAATCACTATTATTTGTTGGGCAAATAAACGTAAGTAAGGAAACTGGAGAAAAACATGCTATATACTAATCTACCGTACCTTGTTTTCAGAGTGACTTTTCTTCAGTTGCAATGACTCGTTCTGGTCTGTCCTTGGAGGAGCTGAGGATTGTGGAAGGACAGGGTCAGAGTTCTGAGGTCATCACTCCTCCAGAAGAAATCAACCGAATGAATGATTTGGGTACGTAGACAGAGTTTACTATGATTGGGGATGTTTTCAAAGAGGGAAAAATATTGACCATTGTCGAGGAAGATAGTCGCTTTCATCAACTAGGAATAGAAAGAACGTCTTATTCTCTCTTCTTTGAAAGGTGGTCTGTGCATTATTTGAACCATATCTGTGTTCATTTGACCCTCTTTAGATTTGAAGTCAAGCACTTTGCTGGATGGTAAGATGGTAATGGAAGGGTTTTCAGAAGAGATTGGCAACCACCTGAAGCTGGGCAGTGCCTTCACTTTCCGTGTAACAGTGTTGCAGGCCAGTGGAATCCTCCCAGAGTATGCAGATATCTTCTGTCAGTTCAAGTAAGCTGCTCCTTTGCTCTGCCTACCTAGCATTTAACCCACATGGCGTCCTTTGTGCACTATAGAGTGCTTTACATTTGTGAGATATTAACACTCTTGAGAGATAAATGACTACCAGTCTCTGAAATAAAATGCTTTCTTCACTCAAGATGGAAGTAAGAACCGGAAACCTTCCATGGAATAAAACAGAGTTCATTGTGGGGAGGAGTATGGCCATGCATCCAGCTAGAAGGTTCTGTTGTAAACTATCCCCCCCGCCAGGAATAGAGGATCTAATCCAGATAAGCCTATTTATTAGTCTTTTTAATGCTGTTCATACTGAAATGTCTTATTAATAAACAAGTCTGAAAGCAGTGAATTATCCAGGTACCAATTATGCTTATTTAATACTTGAGAAGAGGAAAATTTAAATAATATAAAGAACAATGAAATTCTACGTCAACTGAAAAAAAGCTAGTATGTAGAAAAGATGTGACAGGTTTCATTTCTCACCCACTTACAAGCTCTATCCTGTAACCCTCTAGATGCTTTCTTCTCAAGAGGTCCCTAGGAAAACACTTTTTTGAGAATCCTAAGTTTTAATACCTCCAAACATCAATATATCTTTTCGGTACTTGGAAAGGGCCACAGTACAAGAGAATGAAGTCTGACTCACCCTATTCCTGAAGCCCCCAGTTTGCCACCGTGACACCAAAAGGCTGCTTTAGAGTTCTGCCATCCCTCTCCCCTCAGTGTGTGCCTTGCCCTTCTTAGGGGTCCTAATGGAGTTTATAAAGGATTGCCTTTATATAGATTTTAGCCAAGTCCTGAGTTTAAATGTGATTATTGCGTAGTAAGCCTCTAATATCATTTGCTAGAACTCATAATTGTTGTTGAAATATTATCCATCCAATATTGATTTTGCCCATTTAATGTGTTTTCACTAGCAGCCTTAAATTTAGGGTGGGATGGCATTGGCCAGATGAATCAGTTTTTTTGAACTTTTCACTATTATTCTAGTCAGGCAACTGATATATTTTATAGAAAAGATCTACTTGCTTAACTGACATCTGAATGGCAATAATGGTGTGGTGACTTTTGCCCTACAATCTCCTAAAAAGAGCAGCATCTCCAGCTGGCATTAGCTCTGGGAGATAGGGCATGTTGACTCGTGTTGAAAGAAGACTCAAATTCTTCTTGGGTTTTTATGGACTCTCATCTGGCCTGTGTAGGGAAGGCCCACTGTAGAGCAGTGTGAATGATTTCCTGTGTCACCAGTGTGGACGCCCAGGATATTTGTGCCTGCTCCAAGCAGAGCACTGGAGGAGTGTAGGTCAGAGATCGACTGATGCCCTGGGGCCTCTGGCAGGTACATGTATAGTCCAGAGAGGAAAAAATTGGAAGGAAAAAAAAAAGGAGTAAGCGGAGAAGGAGGGGCCAACTCAGTGGCGTAGCAGTTGAGTTCGTGCCCTCCGCTTTGGCGGCCCGGGATTTGCAGGTTCAGATCCCAGGTGCAGCCCTGCACACCACTTATCGGGCCATGCTGTGGCGGCATCCCATATAAAGTGGAGGAAGATGGGCATGGATGTTAGCTGAGGGCCAATCTTCCTCAGCAAAAAAAAAAAAAAAAAAAGGAGGATTGGCAATGGACATTAACTCAGGGCTAATTTTCCTCAAAAAAAAAAAAGAGTAAGAGAAGGAGAGGGAGAGAGGTAAGGAGAAGAATGAGAAGAAAGCAAATAGATAAAGGTACATGTAGTACAGAATGCTACAGCGTCAGAAATACGTGACATCAGTGATTTGGAATGCCTGGGAAAAGTACACTACTGTCCTCAGACTCACTCAACTACTTTGGAAGACAGGGAGTTCATACTTCTGCTGCCTCTACCCCCTATTCATTTTCCTGTTTCCTCTTTTTTCTTGAGGGGTGTGGAATGTTCTTCTGATGGATATTTTCTATCTGACAGTAAATCTTTGTATTGAGTATTTTTTAATTCTCCACTTTTTATTTCAGACTAATAATAGGGAGGGAGAGAGAACAATAAAATTTCACTATTTGTGAGAATAAAAAAACATAGCCTATTGATTCAACAAATATTTCAGGATGGGCCGGCCCGGTGGTGCAAGCGGTTAAGTGCGCGCTCTGCTGCAGCGGCCCGGGGTTCGCCGATTTGGATCCCGGGTGTGCACCGACACACCGCTTGTCAAGCCATGCTGTGGCGGTGTCCCATATAAAGTGGAGGAAGATGGGTACGGATGTTAGCCCAGGGCCAGTCTTCCTCAGCAAAAAAGGAGGATTGGCAGATGTTAGCACAGGGCTGATCTCACAAAAACAAACAAACAAACAAATATTTCAGGAGTATATTCTATATTTTGAGCCCTGTAGGAAACACTTGTTGTCTTTTGGGGAGACAGGTGTGTCCCCTTTACTTATTACAAACTTATTTCACTTATTACAAACAGTGAAATCATTGCTGTGGAAGAAAAATAGGTCCCTAGTGGTGTGGGAACACAGAACTATTTGGATGAATCAGGGAAGACTTCCTGGAAGAGGTGGCATTTGAATCTACTCTTAGCTGGTCTTAGACTCCTAGGCAAGTATGACAAATACAGGCTTTAGTACTGCCTTATACAAACTTGAATCTGCCAGATCATTCCTACACAAAACGATTTCATAATTTTTGTTCTCAGTAAAAAACTTCTACAAAGGAACAGGAATTCACTGAATTCACTCTTCACGCTCTCTAAAATATTCTTGCATTTACATCCACATGGTTAAGTGATTAGGGTCAGTTAATTTTCAGTCATTTTTGAAATAAAATCTAAAATGCTATTTGAGTGATATGGAAAATGTTCTTGACAAGGAAATATAACTAACAAAGTCTCGAAGGCTCTGCTTAAGTAGGATGCCTCTTTCCATAGGATCCAAGTTGAGCTCTTAAAACATAGATTTTGAAACGGTTTAATGTGAAATTCATGTGTCTTGTTTTTTTAATTAAGCTTTTTGCATCGCCATGATGAAGCGTTCTCCACTGAACCCCTCAAAAACAATGGCAGAGGAAGTCCTCTGGGCTTTTATCATGTGCAGAATGTAAGTGACAGGGACATTTTCTCCAAACATTTTGCAAGTTTGTGTGCCTTATAGTGGCTGGTGTGAGGCAGTGGTCACGTGTGGCTTTCTCAGCCGAGAGAGGAGGACGATCTGAGCTGCTGTGCTGGAGGGAGCCCCGTGGGGAGAATAGACAATGGAGCCAGTGGCTAGAGTGGTGAGCTAATCCTCAGTGGACAGAGCAGCCAGGCTTCTTCTCTGAATTACAGTGGGCCCCGTGAGTCATGTGGGGGTTGGTTTGCCAGTAAAATCTTCCATCAGTTTACATGTAGTGAGTTGTTTTTAGTGTTTCCTTCCTAGAAAAATAAGCATGTTTAATATGAGTTTTGTTCAAGTTAATATGTTGTCCTTTAAACCGTAAGATACTCATGTTGCTCCGTTGGAAATAATGTGGAAACTATTAAATACCTTTTGTAGCTAAATTAAGATTCAGAGTCTGTTTTCCTTGCAGCTGATACTATGATTAATCCATTAATACCTCCTACAACTCTCTCATATGTGGAATAAGAAAACAGACCTTCCATATCCTCTAGGAAGGTTCACTCAAACTCTGTTCAAAAGTCATCCTCATCACAATAGCTAACATTCATTGAGAACTTATTTCATGTTAGTTACAGTTCTAAGTGCTCTTTTGTGTCTTTTTTTTTTTTTTAATTTTTATTTATTTCATTTTTTTTCCCCTAAAGCCCCAGTAGATAGTTGTATGTCATAGTTGCACAGCTTTCTAGTTGCTATATGTGGGACGCGGCCTCATCGTGGCCAGAGAAGCGGTGCGTCGGTGCCCACCGGGGATCCGAACCTGGGCTGCCGGCAGTGGAGCACGCGCACTTAACCGCTAAGCCACGGGGCTGGCCCTCTTTTGTGTCTTAATTCATTTAATCCTCACCTTTGTGCCGTGAACTATCATAATCCCTATATTATAGCTGAGATAACTAAGGCACAGAGCAGTTAAAGTCGCTCACCAAGATTACAAAGCTAGGAAGAGGTAGAGGTGGGGTTTGAACCCAGTGAAATGTAGCTCTAGATCCAGGATCTTCACCATTACATGAAACAGGTTCATTTTCTTGCTAACCATATCCACTCCTTAAAGTACAAGAGGAAAGGACAACTCCAAAAATGGAGTAGCAAACACAAAACACACTATTTTCTTTTTTATGTTTAATTGTATAAATATGAGCATGCATGTATCTGATAAATATTGACTGGCTTATTGTGCTCGAGGACTGTGCCTGACACCACTGGGGAATGCACAAATGAATCTCAGATGATTATGCCCCCAAAGTGCTTAGAACTATGATAGGGGAAATAAAATGCATATTTAAACAACAGTAGGGCCGGCCCCGTGGCTTAGCGGTTAAGTGCTCGCGCTCCGCTGCTGGCGGCCCGGGTTCGGATCCCAGGCGAGCACCGACGCACTGCTTCTCCGGCCATGCTGAGGCCGCGTCCCACATACAGCAACTAGAATGGATGTGCAGCTATGACATACAACTATCTACTGGGGCTTTGGGGGAAAAATAAATAAATAAAATCTTTAAAAAAAATAAATAAATAAACAACAGTAGTACAAGATATAAAGACATTAGAAAGGTATTCATTAAATGCAATGGGAGTAGAGAGAAGGGAAAGTTATTTCCATTAATGGAAAGATACTTGAAGTTACTTTTTCTGTTTGGGAGATGGATGGTTGGGTTGAGAAAGGAGGTGGGGGAACTTCTAGTATAAATAAGAAAAGATGAGTCAAACTTGGCATTGTACCTGGCACATAGTCAGCAGTCATTTTTCTGTATTATTGCTACTGTTTGAACTGGGCCTTGAAGTGTAGGAATGATTTAGAGGTATGGAGATATGGGAAGGCCTTCCAGGCAGGGCTGCAGCCTGGGCCAGTCCTTGGGTACAACAGGGGACAGAGCAGGTGAAAGGAGCAGCAGGTGAGTTTGACTGAACTGAAACAATAAGTGTGAGAAGAGCAGCAGGGGGCCAGAGGTCAGTTGGGGCAGGTGATGGAGGGTCCTGAATGCCAGAGCTTAGTGAAGTTACTTTATTTTTATTTTATTAATTTTTTTTTTTTTAAAGATTTTTTTATTTATTTTATTTTTCCCCCCAAAGCCCCAGTGGATAGTTGCATGTCGTAGCTGCACATCCCTCTAGTTGCTGTATGTGGGACTCGGCCTCAGGATGAACGGAGAAGTGGTGTCTCGATGCGCACCCGGGATCCGAACCCGGGCCACCAGCATCGCAGCGCGCGCACTTAACCACCAAGCCACAGGGCCGGCCGTGAAGTTACTTTAGATGAAAACCAGAGAGGACCGAGGCCGGCCCCGTGGCGTAGCGGTTAACTGCGCGCTCTCCGATGCTGGGGGCCTGGCTTCAGATCCCGGGTGCACACCGGCGCATTGCTTGTCAGGCCATGCTGTGGCGGCGTCCCACATAAAGTGGAGGAAGATTGGCACGGATGTTAGCTCAGGGCCAGTCTTCCTCAGCAATAAGAGGAGGATTGGCAGATGTTAGCTCAGGGCTGATCTTCCTCCAAAAAAACAGAAAAAAGCCAGAGAGGACCCCCTATGTTTTGGTGTGGCAGGCCTGCATAGTAAAATACCCAGCACATAGTGGGTACTCAAAAGTGCTAATGTTCTGTTTGCAGCAAAAATGTGTTTTCTTATAACAGATCTTTCTCTAATCTAACTTGGCTTTATTCCTTATTAGATTGCAGTGGAGGTCACTGAATCATTTGTGGAATACATCAAAACTAAGCCTATAGTATTTGAAGTCTTTGGGCATTATCAGCAGCACCCACTTCACCTGCAAGGACAGGAGCCTAACAGGTTTGGACCAAATAAGCGATTCTTGTTGATGTTGTTGTTGTCACTTGCTGGAAAGGAAGAAATCTTTTGAGGGATTAAGATAACTAAATAATAGTTTTGTATAATACCATATGTTTTCATAGAAACTTGAAACTTTAGAAACTTCACCACCTTTTTTCTAAGCCACCTCATCACTAATTGTAGGTAGAGAAAGTTGAATTTTGCCCAGGTGACCTTGAGTACCATCTTTTTGTGGGAAGAGTCTTTGAATAGGATAGGAAGTTGAGATGATAGGGATATAACATGAAAATCATGTATAATGTTCCTAACCACCCAGAACTTTATGAAGCATAAGCTCTAAGTGGAGATATCAGAGTTGGTGAGGAGAACAATGACAAAGACTTTTGCGTGATGGCAGAGTGTCAGTGTTAATAGAAAATTTTTTATTAGCTATGACTTACAAGGGGACTTTTATTAAAATGTATGAGCCCCAGTTTTACTGTGTGAGATTATGTCTGTTATCTGATATTATGTCAGAGTTGAAAATGCAAATGATCTGTTTCTGAAGAGGATTTAAACATGCCATTAATATCAAATGAGAATCTTTTTAGTCTTGAAGAACTTTGTCTCCCTTCCTTTGCAGTCCACCTCAGCCATCTCGACGATTCTTCCCTCCGCCCATGCCGCTCTCCAAGCCAGGTGAGTTCTACCTGTATCCTTTGTATGATGTTCTCTGTGTGAATACATCTCTTACTCTCAGTGACTTTTCGGATAAAAATCATATTCAAATTCCTGCTCCACTTTTATGTATCCTTGCGTACTCCGGTATCTAACAGGAACTAGAATTCTTCGTTCTTGATTTAAAATAAGAAGTGGGAAACAATAGAGCTCTATGCCTGCCAATTCTCTGGTCTTCTTGCAGATTTTGATAAGTTCCCTGTTCCTAAATCTCTCTGCTTTGTATGTAACTTCCCATAACTGTCAGGTGACTGGGCATTTCTTTGCATATTAAGTTTATTCTGCATGTTCATGTATCTTGTTTTGATTTTTCTTTGTTTATTTTCGTCCTTTTTCCTCATTGCTCACTTGCCACATTCCCACCCCACCCTGTGCTCCTTCTCCATCTCTACTCCTCATCTCCATCCTGCCTTCAGACCATGCGAGAAAGATTGCACTGATTCGATTTCTCGTATCTGGCTATGTGAACGTGCATGTGTTGGACACATTTTCTGAGCACGCCAACGTGCTTGCGTCCTCCGCTGTTGCCACCTTCCAGGATGGGGCTGACACATTGCCGCCTTTTCTCTTTCTGCCAGTTCCCAGCTGCCAGAGCGAGAGGGTACCTAAAGGAGATGGTTAGTAGCTAAATTTGCTCTGCCTTAGATGTAGAACTATCCTCAGGGGCTTGTGCTAAAGCCTGGCTTTCTGTGTATGGAACACTGATGTTTCTGTTTGCTACATGAGCTGAATGTCAAGTTCAGCACAGTGTCAAGATCATATCACGTTTCCTTCAGAGAGATTTTAGGAATCACCTTCTCTACTTGTGCCTCTTTTACATCACCCTAGGGGTGAGGGGCTCCTTATTTTGTTTGTTTGGATTCTTTGCAATAGTATTTTTCATTTTAAAGATTTTTACTGGTAGATGAGTTGTTTGGTTTTTTTTCTGTGCTGGGTTGTTTTGCTTTCTGACCCTCAGATAACCGCCAGAATCAGTAACCCTATTTTTTTCTTGATTAGCATCACTAACTCCTGTGGAATTCAGCTGGAGTGAATAATGCTGATAGGCTTCCCACTGGAATGGTGCTGTATGATTCGTAAAGGCCTTTTAGATGCATTGTGTCAGTGGATCCTCATGATACCTTTTTGAGACAGCAGGCTAAATATCATGATCTTCATTTTATAGATGAGGAAACAGACTCCCAGAAGTTAAGTGACTCAACCAAAGTCACGTAGCTAGTTAGTGGTTGAGCAATAATTAGATCCCAAGTCACTGGACTCGAGTGCTCTCAGATTCTGGGCAGAGAACCCTCTTTGTATTGCCAGACTTTAGAACTTCTGTGTAGTGTTTCAAAAAGCCCACCATGTAGAATCTGAAATTCTTGGAAATACTGGGTTTTTGGCTAATTTATCTCGTCAGTACAGTTGAGAATATGGAATTTAAATCTGAAGAAAATGTGTAACATAAGATCATTTACAGAATCCTGTATTTACTTATTTGACTAGTGGTTCCCAAAGCTGCACATTGGAATCACCTGGGGGGTTTCACACCTCTCAGAGGACTAGGTCCTACCGCCTGGAGATTGTGATTTAATTGGCCTGGGGTGTGGGCTGGGCTTTGCCATCTTTAAGATCCCCAGACGACTCTCGTTTGCAGGCAGGTTTGGGAACCTCTGAGGTGGAGGATGAGTCTTCAGTCCCCCACACCAGCTTTGATGAGGCCCTGTGATGTGTGAGACTCTGCCCACATGGTTACAATGCTCTGTATGCCACCAGATGTGAGACTCTAAGGGAGGTTTTTTGAGCACATTTACTCTGCACGAAACCTGTTTTCTCATTGTTGGATGCAGTTGATTGAGAGGGAGAAAGACACTGGCTCTCCATTTTCCTTGTTCTCTGAATTTAGAGGTACTAATGTAGTTGATGGTGAAGTTTCTCTGGGTCTTCTGCATTGAAATCTGTCCTCTGACTTTTGCCGCCTTTCCCAAGTATGTCCTTGAGGACTGACGTTAGAGCTTATACTTTTACTTAGTAGACGTGGACAAGATTTTGACATTTTCTAAAAACTTTTAAAAGTTCCAGCCACCAAGTTGAACACCATGAGCAAAACCAGCCTTGGCCAGAGCATGAGCAAGTATGATCTTCTGGTTTGGTTTGAGATCAGTGAACTGGAGCCTACAGGAGAGTAAGTCCAACTTTCTAAATTTTTAAATAAGGCAAAGGTTTTCAAAAGTAGAAAATGCAGTGTTGAGTCTCTGTTCTTGTATTCAGGTTCATGAATCATTATCACTGTCAAATTCTAGTTTTGAATTGAATTTTGGTGGTCTTGATATTACTCTTTGAATCAGATGTTTATCAGAGAACTGACTATTCAGTGTAATAATTTACCTTCGTGTTAGCAACAGCAAGATCATGGAGACTGGCACTTTCTTATGAGGGAAGAAAACCTACATAGTGAGTTTTATCAGCAGCAAAGTAAAGGGAGTCAGAAGCATATTGCACATAATATAGTCAAGACTTATCTTAATAATCTCAGTGAGGGCGTTGGGGGCAGAATCTTTATCTAGACCAGGGTTTCTCAACCTCGGCACTATTTGGGGCCAGATAATTCTCTGCTGTGGGGAGCTGCCCTCTGCGTTGTAGGATATTTAGCAGCATCCCTGGCCTCGACCAACAAGATGCCAGTAGCGCCTCCCCTCCAGTGTGACAACCAAACATGTCTTCAGACATTACCAAATGTCCCCTAGGGGGCAAAATCACCCCCAATTGAGGACTGTTGTCCTAGATCAAAATGATCAACATCAGCTTACTTTCTCTGTATGAGCTGTGTTAGAGTAAGTGGTGAATATAATTATTGTTTATAGTTGTCTTTAAAATGCTTTTGGAAAAACACAAATAAAAGAGATCCCATTCTTGAAACAGAAGCAAGGGGCTGTATCAGTTAGTGTAAAGGGTAGCAGATAAATGTTACCCTGTGATCCTCTATTTCTAATGCTGAGTACCACCATGATCATCTCCATGAAACATTTATTGAGTTCCTACTATGTGTGAGGTATGGCTCTACCAGTCCTGTATGTAGTTGTCAGTAGTGACATTGCTTTAAGAAATTTGACTTTCTGGGGGCTGGCCCCATGGCGTAGCGGTTAAGTGCACACGCTCCGCTGCTGGCCGCCCGGGTTTGGATCCCGGGCGCGCACCGATGCACCGCTTGCCAGGCCATGCTGTGGTGGCGTCCCATATAAAGTAGAGGAAGATGGGCACAGATGTTAGCCCAGGGCCGGTCTTCCTCAGCAAAAAGAGGAGGATTGGCATGGATATTAAGCTCAGGGCTGATCTTCCTCACAAAAAAAAGAAATTTGAGTTTCTGAAGACAGATGTATAATGTGATTATAATTTGCATTATGAGGGAAAGGTAGTTACAGGAATAGTTTCTACTGAGTTAATTGCTTTCTGATTCTTAAAAAACTATCTAAAATCTGAAATTCTCTCTTTCTTATCTCCCGGCACTTGCTATTGCAGTTATACATTATTTATGGAATATCTGTTATGCAAGGGGCTGGGATGGAGCCACGAGATGTTACAGTCCTTTGGGCACTTTAGTAAGGATGATGAGACATAGATATGTAAAAAGGTTTGCTAAGTGCAGATGACTGTATGATTAAATGCCCAAATGGTGAGAATGACATGGGATTGTAGTTTAGAAAAACAAAGACCACTGGGGGCCATTAGCAACCACGGAAGACCTTGCAGATGGAGTAGCATTTGGTTAGTATAGGTGTTCCATCTAACTTCTTTCTCTTACATTTCTGTTTTTATAGGTATATCCCAGCTGTGGTTGACCATACAGCAGGCTTGCCCTGCCAGGGGACATTTTTGCTTCACCAGGTACTGATGAGGGAGCAAAAGAGAGCCTAGGAGGGAACACCAAAATGAGTTCAGAATAAGAAAAATAATAACTCTTTCTGTTTTTCTGCTTTTCATCTCCATTTAAAGTGGATTTGGGGTTAGGGGAACATTGTCTTGTCATTTTTTTTCTTTTTTTATGTGTTTGTTTTTTAATGTTTCTTCCTCAGACCTTGGCTTATATATACCCTTGCTTTTATATATAAATATATTTTAGAAGAGCTGTTTTGAAAAAGAGTTTGTTTCATTCAATTACTATATAATTTGTGCAGGTCCCATGTCATTTTATACAGTTTTCATTTTTTTGTATATAATTTTCATGTTTGGAAACTGTGCTTTCACAGTGAAAAGTTCTTAATGGGGATAGAGGGTGAAAGTTTCAATGGACTAAAGATCTGGCCATGAAATGTAGGTCCCCCTTTGGTAAATCAAAAGTAAATTCAGTCAGTGCTCAAAAATGGTTATGACCCAGGTGGGCATAGGAGCTGGGGATCTCACACTCTAGGACATAAAATCTAGACATCTGTTCTTAAAGTCATATCAGAACCTTGCTCTTCCTCAGTGCCTGACCTATATCCCTTTGTTTAGAATAATGGTATGGACAGCATTTCCCTTCTCTCTCCATATCTCTCCTTCCTGTGTAACCCCACACCATACAATCCAGAAAGCAACAAACTAAGAGGAAATAATAGATTGCCCCAGCTAAATTGTAACCCTGCTCTATTACCTAGGGCATCCAGCGAAGAATCACAGTGACCATTATCCATGAGAAGGGGAGTGAGCTCCACTGGAAAGATGTTCGTGAGCTGGTGGTAGGTGAGTACATTCCGTCGGCTGAGGACAGAGCCAAGCTTTTGAGAGATATCATTATTCCCTGTGTGGAGCACAGGGAGTGTGTGGAAGACTGGGTTGGAGAACATGAACTATGGAGAATATAGAGGCCTTGGGTCTGAAGCTACTCTTGTTTCTCAGCTCCCATCATTAGGGATATGTTATTCAACTGACCGTTACTTTACTCAGTTACCCTGGGAATGGTTCTGTGCTAGAGGCTGCGAGAGGACATAAAGAAGTAGTGTGAGCTTGCAGTTTATTTGAGGAGACAACGTGTATATGTTTAAAGCAGTTTGATAAATAAGTGCCAAAATGAGGACAAGTGAAAAAGACCGGCGCTAAGAGAGTTAACAACAAAAAGGATCCAGGAGGACTGGGTTAGATTTATGGGAGAGAATCTGAATAGATTCAAGAGAAATCAGAGGATTTTTGTTTGTTTTGTTTTGTTTTCCACAAATGGAGACATGTTGAGTAAGAGTCAGGAAGATGTCTAACGTATAAATGGCTAGAAACCCATGGCCAGAGTGGAGAAGTTAAACTACGGTGTAGTAAGCGGGAAACATTGGCTACACAGTATAAGCCTTAGAATGGTAGTCTAAGGCAGGGGTTCAGAGCCTTTTATTGCCATGAAGCCCTTTGTCAGTGGTGAAGCCTCAGAATTATGTTTTTAAATGTAGAAAATTAAGTACTTAACGATTACAAAGGGAACTAATAATACGGAAGTTGTTAAGATGCTACACCAGTGTATAATATAAGCTCTTCTTTATTGATGCATTGAATAAGCAGTGGTTCTAATTTTTATCATTTCAAAATGGTGATGAATGTCAAGATACTTTACATCAGTGTGATGTGAAAACATCTGTGATTTCTACTTGGGACACAGTCACAGGTACTTCTGATTCTCCTGTGGTTTGTCCCCTCCCTTCATAATTGGAGGAAATGCCAAATTTCATTTAGAGGTTCGTGAAAATATAGTTGTAATTTTTTTTCCCCATTCAAACTCAAACTCACGGACCTCCTTAATTCTATACATAGACTCCTTGAGTATTTGTGGACCAGATTAAGAACCTCTACAAGGGAGATTATACTCTCTCCTGTCTGGGGCAGTGGTTTTCAAGCTTTTTCAAAACTAATTTTTATGTGGAACACATTTACACAAAACAGAAGAGTTGCTTTCTGACCAGAAAGGATCAGGTAGGCTGCAGAGGCAGTGGTTATTAAGGCTTCTCTGAAGAACCCTATGATTTATTTGCTAATTTTTTTTTAACAAACACTTATATGGTGCTTACTACGTGACAAGTGCTTTTCTGAATGCTCTAAAAATATTAGTTTATTTAATATAATATAACAAACATATAACATGATTGTAACAATCCTTATAGGGGGAGAATTGTTATTTGCACTTCACAAATGAGGAACTGAGGCTTGGAGCGGTTGAACAATATGCCCAGGCCTCACAGCTAGTACATGTTGAACTTGAGATTTGAATCCAGGCAGCCCAGCTCCAAAGACTGCTGTTAACCTCTATGCAGTGCTACACCCCCTAGTGTTAATTTGCAAACAGAGGTGTAGGATTTTGAACAAGAAAGCGGTGTAGTGAAGGCAATGGCTTAAGAAGTTTATATAAGGTGAGTGTAGGATGGATTGGAAAGGGGGAGATGCGAGCAGCCAGGAGACCAGTTAAATGGCTAGTGTAGTGTTCCAGATCAGAGGAGGATGACCTTTGTGAGCAGGGCAGTGATATTGGAAATAAAAGTTGAGATGAATATGAGAAACTTTTTGAACAAAGAATCAATAAAGTCTCACAATTGACTAAATGTGGGAAGTAAAGGGAAGACAATATGGAGAAGAATGGAAGACTGACCATTCTACAGTTAATCAAATGTCACTTCCACCACCTGAAGTTACACAAAGATTTAAAAGTCTCTTTTTGGCGTAATGAATTTGTTTTGTTTTTAAATGTACCCATGTTCTGGTTTCTTTATTCTTTCTTTTAGGCCGGATTAGGAATAAGCCTGAGGTGGATGAAGCTGCAGTTGATGCCATCCTCTCCCTAAATATTATCTCTGCCAAGTACCTGAAGTCTTCCCACAACTCTAGCAGGTGGGGCACCCTCTGGAGTGTGATGAGTCAGCCCTGTAGCGGCTGACTGGTGTACCATTAGATTCCTTGTTCATTAGTGACTCCTGTGCAGATGAGGAAACTAATTCCCTTCTCACTTCAAAAATCCCTATTTCCTCCCCTGCCCACCTTGCTCTCCAAAAATAAGTAAATAAATAATTGGAGATATGTGTGTGTGATCAGTTACCCTTAGAGAATGGCAGTGTTCTATCCCCTGGGGAGTTTGAGTAGATGTAACATAGTGATAGAGAAAAAGCAGAAAAAGAAAACTCAGCATGCTACCAAAGCATTTAAAAGCACAAATTAGGGGCCAGCCCTGTGGCCTAGTGGTTAAGTTCAGCATGCTCCACTTCAGCGGCCCGGGCTCAGTTCTCGGGCACAGACCTACACCACTTGTCATTGGTGACCACGCTGTGGCGGCAACCCATGTACAAAATAGAGGAAGATTGGCACAGATGTTAGCTCAGGGAAAATCTTCCTCAAGCAAAAAGAGGAAGATTGGCAACAGATGTTAGCTCAGGGCAAATCTTCCTCAGCAAAAAAGAAAAAAATTACAAAAGTACAAATTAATTATTGCTAAGACTAAATGTTTTCCTATGACATGGTTGCTGTGGAGAAAGGTCTCTCTGTCCTAAGTGTCATGGAAACATGCCCTCCAAGGTATAGTGAACCCTCTGGTGTTTAATCTTTGCTGCTGCCATTACAGGCTTGAGGAGTCTCGGTATTTGATTTTCATTTTGACTTATGCATTGAGGCAATAAACTAATATAAACTCTTCTGACCAAAATTTGCTGTTATAAATAATGAATTTTATTTTATTTTTAATTTTAAAATTAGTTTCCCTTAAAATTTCATTTTATAATCAAGTGATGAGAGACAATGCATAAAGTATGCAGCCATTCTACTTTCCCATATCAGACTGGAAATCAATCTACTGGGGCCCTCTTACCGCCCCAGGAAAGGAGTTCCATCGTTGTGCACAGACTCCATTTCTTTACATAGTGAGGGCTTGGAAACTGCCTGTTCTAATGTGGGCTCAGAACACTGCCTTCATTATAGGACTTCTCTGGCTTCTGTCTGCTCCTTGCTCACGTCTGTGTTGGGAAGAGGAAGAGGGAAAATAAGACAGTAGGGAGAAACAGAATTAAAAGTTTGGACCAGGATCAATTTCTTTGCATTGTTTCCTTGTGTTATAGTTTTGCATAGGAAAGAGAAAAAAGAAACAAATGTCTGTTGCTTTTTGCCTGTAAGAGGAGCTGGCAAGGGCTGTGGAGACAGAGGGAAGGAGTGTGAGAGGGTGTGTATGTGTGGGGAGGAGGAGTGCCAGAGATGATGAAGGGTTCTTTGACCCTCCCTGGCCTATTCCTAGGCAAAATCTTGAACAATACCTTTTCTCTGAAGTCAGCATTAAGCCCACATAGCATTCTCTTTTCTGCCAAACATTTATAGCAAGTATTCAGCTGGCATTCACCACATTTTCTTAGCAGCTATGAGAAATATATCTTAAATTTCCTTAGGGTATTTAGCAAAATACACAGGGAAAGATGGTGTTTGGTTGAAATGCTGGTTGTGCTAAACTTGCCTACGTTAGAGTAACCTTCAGAAGTCCTTTGATTCATGCCCAGCAGCAGGTCAAATGCTGTAGGAGATGCATTTGGCTTTGTTAGAAGCAGCTTATCTTTAACAATAGAAGCTTAGAGTTAATCCATCAAAAAAGTTGGCTAAAGTCAAGACTAAGAAGAAGGTACACACTTTAAACATTTTTGTTTTAAATTAAACTATATAAATGTACATTAATTTGTCAAGCTCTTGCTGTAGGGTCAAGGCCTTTTCTTTAATTACAGGCTCATTTATTGGACTTCTGATTGTCTTTCTTGCAAAACAACACTGAAATTCATCATCTCTGATTTTCAATTTGGTGGACTAAGAACTAGAAACCTGTGAAAAAAATCTAAGTGCAAAAGCCTTTAAACTTTTTATCATTTATCATTAAAATTATATAATTTCTGGGGCCGGCCCCATGGTGTAGCAGTTAAGTGTGCAAGCTCCACTGCTGGTGGCCCAGGTCTGGATCCCGGGTGTGCACTGATGCACTGCTTGTCAGGCCATGCTGTGGCAGCGTCCCACATAAGGTAAAGGAAGATGGGCACGGATGTTAGCTCAGGGCCAGTCTTTCTCAGCAAAAAAAAAAAAAAAAGAGGATTGGCATGGCTGTTAGCTCAGGGCTTATCTTCCTCACCAAAAAAAAAAAAAAAAATTATATAATTTCCCCATTTCTTTTATATTGATCTCGCCCAAACTTAAAACAGCTGTTTTTTAAACAACTCACCATTATCAAATCTTTAAAAAATTTTCAACTTAATTTTCACACTTAGTTTTGTTTCACACTAAACAAAAATTCTTTTTCCCCTCATGTTTCATTGATTTGCCTAATATTTAATTAAATTATGTAATTATAATAACAAATATGACTGCATAAACAGGTCTGAAACCAAGTACTACTGACACTTAATGAGCATGCACCTCAGCTCTTTGGAGCAAATTGTCTAGGCATATGAGCTCTCTCTCTAGTTTAGAATGTCCAATGAGAATGGACATCAGTCTCTATATTTTAGGGATATGGAGAGCATAAATTATATGGTAAGTTGCTAAATGGAGTTTGGTTAAGAGAGCTTTTGTTCTGTTTGCCTAAGATCTGATGTTTAAAGTTGAACTTAGAGAACTCCAATTTGGGTGTGTCATGTGTGTCTATTAGAGGGCTTTTCTGATATATTGATAGTGGAGTGTAACCGCTGAGGGCCATTACTCTTTGTCTTCCCAGTCCTACATTTATGTTACCTGATTGACTTGGTTTTCCCTTCAGTCCACAGCAACTTCCTACCATTTACAATACTAAGCCTCCTCTGAAAGGGATGTTAACAGAGGTGGTCTCCACATTCCCTTCTATGCCCAGCATTTTCCTTAATTGAATGTCTCAGGAGAGGGACCCATGTCATTGTAAGTCCTCTATCAAATTGTGTCCCATGGAGTTCTCTGTTCAAAGTCTGTCCACTTGAATTCACTTTGCTTATCAGCAAATTTGTCTTTTTTGTGTAGTTTTTTCTCTTCTGCTTTTCTCTTTTTTCTATCCTTTTCTTTCTTTTTTTGCTGCACTAACAAAAGCTTTTTCTATGTTTTTGCAGGCTCTTTCTTGATAAGGATATTCCTAGGTATTTTCTGTTTGCTTTTTTTGCATATAAATATTCTAGTTTATCAGAATGCTTTATGTCTTATGTTACTTTGACTGCTGTTTTAATTTAGTGGTTTTCCTCATGCAAATCTAGGATAGAGTAAGACCTCATTCTATACTCTTTGTGCCCTGGGTTTTTCTGATGTGGGTACAACTTGATATATAGCTTCTTAAACGATTTGTAGAGTTCTTAATTATTTTCTCACTCCGTTACTAAACTTGTCCATTTTATTCTGACGCCCCTTCAAGTTTTCCTCTTCTACCTTATGAAGTAGAATATTACTCCCCTCATTTCATATGGAATCTTAGGCTTTGTTTTCTGTTCTTTTCTTTGTCTGTCCTCTCTCTGTCAAAAGCTCAAAAAGTTTGTTGCTCTGTAGCTTTGCATAATTGTTCACAGTGTTTTCTTTGTTTTGTCCTGTGCCGTAGTAGAGGCCAATTTAGCTATTTGGGTAATTGAGTCTATGAGAAATATTTTATTTTTAAACATTTCTCTTTCTCCTGTCAGGGCTGCTTGTCTCATCTATTTATTTTCTTCTTTTGGAGTAGAAAAATACCTTGGTTTGGTAGTGAAGGAAGTGTTTTTCCATCTCTTCATCTGATTTAGGCAATAAAACTGAAGGAATTGATACCTGACAATGTAGCCCAAAATGTTTTTTTAAAAAATATACGCAGGGGCCCGGCCCTGTGGCCTAGTGGTTAAGTTCGGTGTGCTCTGCCTTGGCGGGCCAGGTTTGGTTCCCGGGCGCAGACCTACATCATTGGTTGGTGGCCATGCTGTGGTAGCGATCCACATACAAAATAGAGGAAGGTTGCCACAGATGTTAGCTCAGGGCAAATCTTCCTCAGCAAAAAAAAAAAGACACACACACACACAGCCATTGTTCAGAACATTTTGAGAAATCCATTTGAGATTATTTCCTAACTGCTTTAGGAGCCATACAGGAAAACATGTCTCAGGACTCAGCCCTGTTTCTAACTCTAAATTCTCTTGCAAGCTTGATTCAGTTGGCATTTTTCACCAGTCTTGGTTGTATTTCTTAAACCACCTTTCAAGATTTGCCACCTTTGGTGAGTATTCCAAAAGAATGTGCTGCAGTAACTCCCAAGCACCAAACAAAACAAACAAAAAAAAGGAACTTTTCCCCCCCAATACAGGAAGATGTTAGTGGAGTCAAAAATTCCTTTGTGTTAGCCAAGTTTCTACCAGTGAGCTTTCTTATTATGTTAAATGAAAACTTAGCTTGAAAACAGAAATATGAAGAGGCTTTCTTAACACAAATTCAAAACATTTGCCTCAGTTGAAAGAGAGTCATGAAACCTAAGTAGTGGCACTGGGAAGTGCTAAGTTGTGGTTTGGAACTTAATGAATCATAGATTACAGGCCGCAGTGATAGGAATTTCTGTCAGGTATCTCGAAAGTAATAAATGCCCTCACTCTAAGAAAGGAAGTTCATTTCACTTAGCACAGGTGTATTCAGACCTTTCTATGCGACAGGTAGCCCCTTCCATGTACCTCAGCAAACACAAGGACACAATAAAAGAGCAGTTCTCAGGGTGACAGAGCTCTCAGGTGGCTTCTGCTGAAGTAGCCGGTATCGCCACCCAATATTAGAATTTGTCTTAAACCAAATTAAAATGAAAATTTGATCAAAACAGGGCTTTGTGGATGCATAAAGGGTTTGCTGAGCCCAGGAGCCTATGGAAAGACTTCCATAGTCCTTCGTTTCAGTTGCTATTTTGGTCTCCTGGTTGCTTTGCCTGTCTTTGTCTCGTTAGTCGTTTCTGTATTCCTTTGGAGTCTTTGTAGAGAATTTTCTTGACCCATAGACGCTGCCTCAAAAGCTAGATATTTGAGAGAGTATCAAGTACTTCAAGAAGACTTAGATCTAGAAGCAGCTACAAAATGAAATGATCAGGTTTTACATGCTGGCACTTGGAGGATGAGGTGTGGCTAAGGAGTTCTTTTAGTAGTGTCTTGTTTTCTCTATGATTATTTCTGGGGAAGGAAGCATGGGAATGTGTTTAGAGAGAAGATATGCCAGCTGTTTGTCATAGGAAATCTAGAAAAGTCTGCAACAGTGAGGTTACCGTTTGGGAAGGAGTAAGGAGGAATGTATTAGGCAGGGAACAAAGTGTGCAAAAACTTTCTAGTTGAATTGGGTGAGGTGTGTAATGTGCAGAGAGCTAGTGGCAATGGAAAATCCACTCTGCGAGGGTAGAGGAGGTATCTTCCCCGACACTTGTTATGGGGTCTGGGAAGGGAGATGTGGGGTAGAGTTGGGGGTTGATCTGTAACACTGCTATTAAACTCAGTACAGTGCTTCAGATGAGACTTACTGAACTGGAAAGTTTAGTGTCCGTTAGGGGCTGTGGTGTTTTACCAGTAGGAAAAAGAAAGATATTAGAACAAGTTAAAAAACCAGTTTAAGGGGTTTATTAAATCAAGCTTGTAGTTGTTATTTAAATGGAGGTTTGATTTTCACATGGATTTTTTTTAAAACTGACAAATGGTAGTTGGCTAGCTCTGGTGTTAAAAATCATTCTCTTTTTCTGATACATCAGCTAAGAATAACCTCTTCTTTTATTTAAAACAAGGTTCTCTATACTTAAATTCTACCTGTTTCCTTCATTAATCCTCCCAGATATGTTTGTGACATTTCTGAGGCTCAGCAGATCTGGATTGTGATGTGAAGACTGCCGCTTACAAGTTACTGAGTGTTTGCTTCCTGCTCTCATTGTCACTGCAGAGGAGCTTACTGTCTTCCTTCTTTTAGTTTCTGTCCATACTCACTTATCCTTTTCATTTTAATCCCTTTAATTGACCTCACTGTTTTTATGTTTATAGGCAGAGGAGAAGCAGTCTTGCCTAAAGAAAAAAAAAACTGGCATAGCTAAGTGCTCCTTGATGATAGACCTGCCTTTCCCTCTTAAGAGATGAAGGTTCCGCTCTGTTGTTGGATTTCCATAAATTGGAAGTGCTGGTTGGTGTAGGATTCTGTAGCATTACTGACAATGACAGTACCCAGACTAAGATCACTTCAGCTGCTTTTGAATGACTCCCTCTTGCCTTTCTGGTCTTAGGACCTTCTACCGTTTCGAGGCTGTGTGGGACAGCTCCCTCCATAACTCCCTCCTTCTGAACCGAGTGACACCCTATGGGGAAAAGATCTACATGACCTTGTCGGCCTACCTAGAGGTGAGGAGACCCAGAACTTGAGTTGCTATCAACGGCCAGCCCTGAACAGCAGGCAGGTTACAGCAGGAAATAGGCAGGGAAGATTCAACTGATTTTTGTCCTCCTTTCTCCTCCACATCCTCAAGTTGTTTATTTTATTATACTTTGCTGACCTGATTATATTATTCTGTTCCTGGTCTCTATTTAATCAAAAAGTCACATGACTTTTATTATAGCTTCAGCTTTAGTAGCCTAATCACTGTTCTTTGAAGAATGTATGATTTTAAGAAAACTTCACCTCTTATTTTTGTAGTTGTGGACAGAGCCTAGTAAGTGGTTAGTAGCCCAGACCCTGGAACCAGCCTATCTGAATTCAAATTCCTGTGTTGCCACTTACTGGCAGCATGTCCTTGACAAGTGACTTCATCTCTCTCTGCCTCAATTTCCTCATCTCTTAAACAGGGATAATAATAATAGCATTTACCTCAGAAAGTTGTTGAGAGGTCATATCAAAGGATTTAGAACAGTGCTTGGCACATAATGAATAATAAATATTAGTCATTATTACAGAAAAAAAATTGAGAAAAATAAATGCATCTGCAAGGAATACCAACTAACCTTGCACATGTTATCTGCTGAGTTGCTGTCGAAATAATTGGTAGAGCTGAAATCCTCTAGCCCCCACATCCAGGACCAGCTTTCCAAATATGGTCACAGATGCTCTGTCTGCATTTAATTGGAGCCCACTCCTGTCTGCTTTCAGCTGGATCATTGCATCCAGCCAGCTGTGATCACCAAGGATGTGTGCATGGTCTTCTATTCCCGGGATGCCAAGATCTCTCCGCCACGCTCTTTGCGTAGCCTCTTTGGCAGTGGCTACTCCAAGTCACCAGACTCGTAAGTTTTTGAGACAAGTTTAGCTTCCAGTTGATTTGCCCAAAAGAGCTCAGAATCAGCAGAGCTCTAGGTGTCCCTGGCTTGCTGTTTCAGGGTTAGTTTACAACCTATAAACCATTTTGGTAACTGATACCTGGAGTGCAGTGACTTGAATGTTGGCATTTAATAAAATATTGATGGATAGATGAGTTAATGACGAAAGGAATATTACATTGTGAACACTTCCAAAACAATTTTGCAGGGACTAAATGGTTTTTTAAATGTCATTGTTATTATTTCTAACAGATTACCTGGGATTTTCTTCTCTTAAAGATTTATTCATATTTAAGATATGCAAAAATACATCAATAATAATACATTGAATATCTGTGCATCACCACCCAACTTAAAAAATAAGTATTATTAATACAACAGAAGGGTCAGTACTCCTTCCTCATCACACTCCCCAGAATTTAATGTTTATCATTTCATTCTAGCCAGACTTTTTCCCCCTCATCTCTCCTCTCTTGTGGTAAGAAAGGCAAATTTTTAATTCATTTTTGTATTGTAAATTTTCTAGTTTATCATTCAATTTTATTCATCCTGTTGAAATAAGAATATTCAAAAGATTGAGATGAAAACAGACTCCTAGGAAAAAATATACTTCTTCAGTTCAGAATAGGAAAAGAACAGTCACTGATAAGAAATGTCTGTAATTATATTTGAGAGTAGTTGCAGTCCTTACAGAGGAGACAGTGTTTTAAGTAGAGAGAATTGAGATTTTCCTGTTTTTGTGCTTTATGAAATTAATCAACTATTTGTTTTAATTCAAATAGCAATCGAGTCACTGGAATTTATGAACTCAGTTTATGCAAAATGGCAGACACAGGTAGTCCAGGTAAGCCCTTATTGATTGAGAGGTGATAGTTATCTTTGCATATATTTGGAGTATATTATGTCAAAAACTGGAGAGTCTACCTATGTAGGATAGACACAAAATTTTTTAGAAACTTGTATATTTTACAAGCCAGTTTTGTGGTGGTGGTAGTTTGAGTTACCTTTTTCTGAGTTGCAACATTGTTTGCTTTATGACATGTAATATGGTTATAAAAACTATATCAAACAATATGTTACTGGGCTATAGAATATTATAAATATTCAAGTGTATTAGAATGAATTTGGCTTGAAAAACTTCATAACCATTTCTCTCTCCACCTTAGCCCTAAAAGTAACTTAGCAATATAACTTTACAGATGCTGTCAAACTAGAATTTGAACTTCCTATGCTCTGGAAAGACAAATTAATAAGTTGAACTTGCTCTGTGTCCTTTTTGATGTCTCTTTGGACTGCTGTTGTGCCTCTAGCTTGATGGCCTTAAGCAGCATGTTTCATTTCTGTGTTTTTAAAGTGGAACATATTGGGGCCGGTCCGGTGGCACAAGCGGTTAAGTGAGCATGCACCGCTGCGGTGGCCCGAGGTTCGCCGGTTCAGATCCTGGGCGCGCACTGACACACCACTTGGCAAGCCATGCTGTGGCGGCGTTCCATATAAAGTGGAGGAAGATGGGCATGGATGTTAGCCCAGGGCCAGTCTTCCTCAGCTAAAAAAGAGGAACATTGGCGGATGTTAGCACAGGGCTGATCTCACAAAAAAAATAATAATAATAAAAAAATAAATAAAGTGGAACATAGACAAAAGTCAGGGTTTTGAAAAACATTTGATTAATGCGAGTTTGAATCATTTTAGAGAACATGTATGGAAAAGAAGGCAGGGCCCACAGGTAAGATTTAGTTAAAAACAAAGAAGACTTTGGTATGAATCCAAGTCCCCATGGCAGCTAATTATAGTGTCCAGAAAGTTCCTTGAGGAATTTTTTAAATTAACATAAATTCACATCTTTTATATGTAAAACTAGTATAACATTTTTAAAAGTTGAGAAGTGACGGGGCAAAAGCCACCTGTCATCTACCATCATAACTGAACTACTGAATGTGGGAGGTGGGTGTATAGTCCCTGCCCACCTTTTACCTGTGGATGTATTTTTATATATTTGGAACCATAGTGGACAGACTCTTTAATCTCTATATATTTTCACTTAACATAATAACTTTAGCATTTTCTCAAGTTGCAGTGCCATCTTCATAAGTATCAAAGAATATAAAACAGTTTTAAAACAATTTCAGAGAGTTGCTTTAGGGGAAAAGGGATGAAGTTTTTTTTGTTTTTTTTTTGAGGAGGACTAACCCTGAGCTAACATCCGATGCCAATCCTCCCCCCATTTTTTTTTTTTCTTGAGGAAGACTGGCCCTGGGCTAACATCCGTGCCCATGCTCCTCTACTTTATATGGGACACCGCCACAGCGTGGATTAGCAAGTGGTGCGTCGGTGTGCGCCTGGGATCCAAACCTGCAAACCCCGGGCCACCGCAGTGGAGTGCGTGCACTTAACTGCTGCGCCACCGGGCCAGCCCCCGGGATGAATTTTTATTAATAAACAAAACCCCGTATGTCTTGAGACCAAACTGTCTTAGTTTGCCATGTATATGAATTATTAATTCATTTTGAGCTAAAATTGGAATTAGATTTTTTTTTGTGTGTGTGTGTGTGTGTGTGAGGAGATCAGCCCTGTGCTAACATCTGCCAATCCTCCTCTTTTTTTGCTGAGGAAGACTGGCCCTGGGCTAACATCCGTGCCCGCCTTCCTCCACTTTATATGGGACGCCGCCATAGCGGGGCTTGCCAAGCAGTGCGTTGGTGCGCGCCCGGGATCCAAACCGGCGAACCCCGGGCCACCACAGCGGAGCGCGCGCACTTAACCGCTTGCGCCACCGGGCCGGCCCTGGAATTAGATTTTTCTCTGAAAAAAAGAATTGTTTCCTCTTGTCTCAGGCATGCAGAGGAGGAGAAGAAAAATCTTGGATACATCAGTGGCGTATGTGCGGGGAGAAGAGAACTTAGCAGGCTGGCGGCCCCGTGGAGACAGCCTCATCCTTGAGCACCAGTGGGAGTTAGAGAAGCTGGAGCTCCTCCACGAGGTATCCAAGGGCAGTAGATGCTCAGATGAACTTTTGAGCAAGATTCTCAGTGTCAGTCTTACGTGTACCTTTTCTCTGTGAAAACTGTGTTTTCAGTTTTCAATCATGATGGAGGCATAATATTTTGCTTATTAAAATTGTAATGAGCTTTGTGTTTGCTGAGGCAATAGTGTTGATCTTCTTAGGTGGAGAAAACCCGCCACTTCCTGCTGCTGCGTGAGAGACTTGGTGATAGCATTCCCAAATCCCTGAGCGACTCATTGTCCCCTAGCCTCAGCAGTGGAACCCTCAGCACCTCCACCAGCATCTCCTCTCAGATTTCAACCACCACCTTTGAAAGTGCCATCACACCCAGTGAGAGCAGTGGCTACGACTCAGCAGACATTGAAAGCCTAGTGGATCGAGAGAAAGAGCTGGCTACCAAGGTGTGAATCCGTTCCTCTTTGCTGAGCATTTTTCCACTGTGAGACTGTGAGTTAGTCTGTCACTTTTTTCATTTTTCTTTAAGGGTTTCTATTTCAAGGCCTGTGCTAACACTGTGAATATAGAAATAGATAAGACTCAATTTCTACCCTTAATAAGCCTTACAGGCGAGTGAGTGACAAGCATATAATAGAGTTGTGTGTCTAGAAGGCTGTTGGAGCCCGAGGAGAGGCCTCCACATGAGGGCACTCGTGAACTAACCTTGGAAGGATGCACGGAAGGGAGCTAGTGGTGTCCTGCATGATCAGTGTTAGGGAGTTCATGTGGGCGAGGGACAGGAGATGGAGTTGGAGAGATGGGCCAGGGCTAGATCGTGAAGGATCTTTGTACTGTACTAAAGAGTTTAGAGTATCCTGGGAGTGATGCAGAAATGTTTTAAATACATATTTGTGTTTTAGAAAGACTTCTCTGGCAGTAATAAAAGAGGATGGACTTGTGGTGAAGAGATAGACTAGAGGCAGAAAACTCTTTATTGTAATAATCCAGATGAGAAGTGATAAAAGTTTTTAACTAAGGCAGGGGTCTGTGGGATGAAGAGGAAGGGGTTTACAGAAGGGACATTCAGGAGGTACAGTCGCACTCCTTGTTGCCTGGATTTGGTGGGAGAGGGCAGAGGGGTTGTTGAGGGTAACTCTGAGGCATACAGTGTCTGGGCAGCTCGCTGACAATGGAGTATGGTAATGAGAGGGACTTTGTGTCTGTTTCAATAATTGAATAGTATTCTAGTTGATTTAGGAAAATATGTCCATCCAGAAGCCTTCATGCCTTTTAGTACCAGGGAGAATTGATAATGAAAAGGATGCTGTTGCATCTTAAACACTTTTAAACTATGGTGTTTGCAGTAATTCACTTTTGTAGTCTTGAGAATGGCTTTTTTATCCACTTATTTTTTATTTATTCTTTATTAGGCGTATACCAGGCTTCCCTTGCTGTGTACTTAGTTGATTTCTAGAGCTGTTTGGGCAGTATCTGAGCTCCACTCTGGGTCTTAGGCATGTTATTTTCTCTTCCTGCCCTGCATCCAGGTTTTCCTTTAACCAGGGAAACTTAGACTTCCCTTTCTCTTCCCTAGTGCCTGCAACTTCTCACCCACACTTTCAACCGAGAATTCAGCCAGGTGCACGGCAGCATCAGTGACTGTAAGGTGAGCAGCTCAGATTTCCTGTCCCCAGGTTACACTGCTTTTAGGTGGCTTGAGATGGGCACTAGCATTGTATTTGAGGATGTATGATATATCTGTTCCTGTATTTATTTAATTTTTCAGAGTCAGAACATTGATTTCTGAAGATAAAAGCATTCCTCTGTGTATCTTAGAGTGATGAACAGATGGGAAACATTTTGGCTTTTCCCTGAATCCTTTGGAGAATATTCTGAAGGGGGTGGTATGTTATTGTATAACAGGGCACAAGAAGTTCTGAAGTTCGTGGTGGCATAAAATTTTGTTGCCTTTGACAAAGAGTGAGGTGAACACTTTAAAGAACTTCTGTATCATTCACTTTTTTCTAGTCATCTTCACCTTTTCTGTTGCTTCTTAAACACTCCAACCTCATTCCTGCCTTGGGAATCTTTGCACACTTACTGTTCCTTTACCTGGAATAATCTTCTGTCAGATATTCTCATGATTGGTTCCCTTATCTATTTCATTTTTCTGCTCAAATATTGTCTCCTTGGAGTGGACTTCCCTAACCACCCTAAGTGAAGCCAAGACCTCCCTTTCTAACCTCTTTCCCTGCTTTGTTTTTTGCTTAACGTGTTTGTTGATTGGTTTTTTGTTTGCCTTCTGCACTAAAATGTAAGCTCCAGGAGAGCAGGGTCTCTGCCATATTCTTAATTTTATTTATTTTTTTTCCCCCAAAGCCCCAGTAGATAGTTGCGTGTCATAGCTGCACATCGTTCCAGTTGCTGTATGTGGGAATCGGCCTCAGCATGGCAGGAGAAGCAGTGCCTAGGCGCGTGCCCGGGATCCGAACCCGGGTCGCCAGCAGCGGGGCTCGTGCACTTAACCGCTAAGCCACGGGGCGGGCCCTCTGCCATATTCTTAGAGTGGTGCCTATTGTTCTGAGTGGGGCACATATATAGATAGGGTCATTTAATTAATTCAGGAGGGCAGTAGCAATACTATAAAAAGCCACCTTGCCTCTTCTGTACATGTCTTGATTCCTGATATGATGCTTAGGCCATAAAATATTTGTAAGACTTGTTTTCTTGAGTGACCTGAAGCAGAAGATTTATGAAAGTGTGGTTACTGGTTGTCAAAGCTTCTTATTGCAGAGGAATTTTTTTTCATCTGAATCACACTTGCTGTGTTCTGTTTGATTCCAGTTGTCTGATATCTCTCCAATTGGACGGGATCCCTCTGTGTCCAGTTTCAGCAGTGCTACCCTCACTCCCTCCTCCACCTGCCCTTCTCTGGTAGACTCTAGGAGCAACTCTTTGGATCAGAAGTAAGTACCCAGATTTCACTGAGAGAAGCTAAGAACCAAGGGAAATGCCAGCCTTTCTCTAGCTCAATGGTTCTCAGTTGAGGGCAGCACCATCCCCCAGGCAGCATTCAGAAATAGGTAGGAGCCTTTTCTGGATATCGCAGTGACTGGGGAGATGCTACTGACATCTTTTAACGTCATATCTTACTAACTTTGTGCATCAAATCATTGACTCTCTTCTTAATCCCTTTCTGTTCCTTTTATCCTTCCATTTCCACCCCTGCTTGTCTCCCCAGTCATATAGACATAGGAAGCCACATCTTGGGAAAAATATTTTGATGACACAACAAAATATAAAGGTAATAAAAATAAAAACAAATTTAGCCTAGATTCCATGAATTCATCATTATAATCACTTCTTTGCAATGCACCATCAAATTCCTTTGCCCCGTCTCCGTTCATTATGCTCACCTGTCAGAACCCACCTGCTTATCTTCCAGCTATCTTACTGTACCAACACTGACACAGTTGAATGTGGCTGGAGAAAATAATTTAATTAAATTTAGGATGCCATCAACTGTAAGATGTTGTTATTATTTTTTTTTTATAATTTTATTTATTTACTTTTTCTCCCAAAGCCCCAGTAGATAGTTGTATGTCATAGTTGCACATCCTTCTGGTTGCTGTACGTGGGACATGGCCTCAGCTTGGCCGGAGAAGCGGTGTGTCTGTGCACGCCCGGGATCCGAACCCAGGCCGCCAGCGGTGGAGCACGCGCACTTAACCGCTAAGCCATGGGGCCAGCCCATAAGACATTATTTTATGTGCCACTAAGAAACAAAAAGTACTGCCAACAAAAATGTGACATGCCATCAATTGTAAGATGTGTCCCAATTGGAGAAATGGTAAAGTATAAGAAAAGTAGGCTTTTTAGAATTGGTGAAATACAATTACCTAGGCTAAGCTGCTCTACCAAAATAACTAACAATACAGAACATAGGAATTATTTCTCACATACCAGTCCTGGACTGGTCCAGGTCAGTGGTGCAGCTCTGCTCTCCATGGTTGTTCAGGAACCCAGGTTCTTCCCGTTTGCTTTCTCTGCCAGTCCTTAAGACAGTGGTTCTCAGACTTTAGTGTGCATCTGCATCCCCTGGGAGGCTTGTTAAAGCGCAGATGGCTGAACGTCACCCAGAGTTTCTGATTCTGAAGGTCTGGGTTGGAGCCTGAGAATTTGAATTTCTACCAAGTTTGCAGGTTAAGCTGATGCTTCTGGTCAGGGACCACACTTTGAGAACCACTGCCCTAGGTGTGGCCTTGGCACTAAATGGAAACATATAAGGGAATGGAGTTCATATTCCAGACACTTCTGTTCAGAGGGCTTCAGTATAAGAAGAGACTCAGTGGTCATCAATGATCAATTTCCTTTTGTAACTTCCAAAGGATGACAGTTGAATTTGGGATTAACTTTCTGACACCAGCTTGTCTTCTCAGCCGAGCTCTCTGAAACTGATATTTGCAAGGCCTGTGGTATGCAGGGAGAGGCATTGTTCCTCCTGGTGAGATGGTTGTACCCATTATGCATTGACCTTTACTGAAGCTCTTGCTACCCCTTCTTCCTAACCTCTCTCTTTTAAAGGACTCCAGAAGCCAATTCCCGGGCCTCTAGTCCCTGCCCAGAATTTGAACAGTTTCAGATTGTTCCAACTGTGGAAACGCCCTATTTGGCCCGAGCAGGAAAAAATGAATTTCTCAATCTTGTTCCAGACATTGAAGAAATTAGACCAGGGTAAGTAGTATATTGACCAGGAGTGCCGGTATAAAAAACCAAATCGGCAAGAATTTATTTCCAGCTCTTCTACATGAGGTCTGTATTACAATCTAATGCAAACGGAATCTGAGGTGAAAGAGCTGGGGTGGGTTTCTGCTCCAGTATGTCTTGTACTGCGTCACCACCCTGGCATAGCATGTTGTGGTGGTGCTTTGTGCTCTTTTGCTGTATTACTCTGGCAGATAAGATTCTAGGCCAAATAGATCATTTACCTGTTTGGTTCGATCTAGGGACTTGCCTATGTGTATTTTGATAATCTTCAGCTCATGATCATTTCCTTTTTTGTGAGTAACTTCTCTTGTATCGTTTTTTTAGCTCAGTGGTATCTAAGAAAGGATACCTACATTTCAAGGAGCCACTTGCTAACAACTGGGCTAAACATTTTGTTGTGGTCCGTCGCCCTTATGTCTTCATCTATAACAGTGACAAAGACCCAGTGGAGCGTGGCATCATTAACCTTTCCACAGCACAGGTGGAATACAGTGAGGACCAGCAGGCCATGGTGAAGGTCAGTCCTTCCCTCTCTTGGCCTTTCATTGCCATGCACGCCCTTCCCTTTTGAGTTCGGAGCTCTGTATTCTGTGGTGTGGAATGTCTTCTTTTTTTTTTTTTTTTAAAGATTTTATTTATTTTATTTTTCCCCCCAAAGCCCCAGTGGATAGTTGTATGTCGTAGCTGCACATCCTTCTAGTTGCTGTATGCGGGACTCGGCCTCTGGATGAACGGAGAAGTGGTGCCTCGATGCGCACCCGGGATCCGAACCCGGGCCACCAGCATCGCAGCGCGCGCACTTAACCACCAAGCCACAGGGCCGGCCCCCGGAATGTCTTCTTTATATCTGGTCTCTCTGAACCTTCAGTGTGAAGTGCTGTGTGCCCTATGAATATGGCAGGGTGATCCCCATTGCCCAGTATCTGTACTAACTTCCTCGTCGTCTTGTGTCTCTTTCAGACATCTAACACCTTTGCTGTATGCACAAAGCACCGTGGGGTCCTTTTGCAGGCTCTCAATGACAAAGACATGAATGACTGGTTATATGCCTTCAACCCACTCCTTGCTGGCACAATACGGTAAGAAGTCGTTCCTGTACTTCCTTCTTCTCCTTGGCTTTTGGTCCCAGGGACATCAACATAAACAGGAAAAGAAGCCTTGTTCCAAACAGGTTTATAGTACAGGAAGGACAGGAGTGTAAATGTGGTTGTAGGGTGGTGATGAGGCCTCAGCTTCTCATAAGGGATCATCTGGTGTCTTGAATGGCTAAGGAGACTCACATTTGCACCCAATTAATCTCTTGCTTTGACTTTTTGTTCTTAAGGGGTCTGCAGCTGGGGTGTATGGGCCTGTATAAAGGAAATATTATGAGAATCTTAATGGTCTCCCAATATTCAGCCCTATGGTCCAGCCTCAGGTCCTAGGAGGGGCTTGTGTCCCAGGGTCACCAGAATGGAGACGACCACTGCCTAGCCTGTTTGCTCAGGGAGCCTGGAGACCTGGGCCTGCAGTGCAGGATAGGAAAAAGTTCAAGGAGGGAACCACAGAGGAAAAAGACCTGTGAGGGGAAGACCATCTGGATCAGTTTTTTAATTCTGCCTCTCCATTTGTCACCCATAGGTCAAAACTCTCCCGCAGGTGCCCGAGCCAACCGAAGTACTAAGTGACTCTGCTGAGCGCCCTCACTCGCCTTCCAAGAGATAAAGAAAGTGTTACCTCTCATTTCTCTTTGTGATTCTTGACGGTTACTCTTGTATGTAATCCTGTGGCTTAACTACTTTTCCCTCCTTGTCCAGCACTTTTTCTAGCTCTCCTGTTCCCCATCTCCATTGCTCTGTACTCTTTTCTTTTTTCCTGTGCTGAAAATCTTGTTAGAAGCATGTGGCCTAACAAAAGGGGAAAAAAACAAACAAAAAAACAACCCAGAGAGGATCCAGTGAATCTCCAATTTTTTGGTGTATTTTGGCTTCCTTTTGTATGATAGGTCCCCATTATGACCACCTCTGATGTCTGTACTGCTGTCTTTGGATATCTTTGTTTTTCAAGATAACATAATACTTTTTTCTTTTCTCTGTTTGTGATATCACTTTAATTTTTCTTGGGTGGCTTAGAGACTAAGGGAGGAGACATCTGGCCTTTTTAGAACCTGAGAGGAGAAAACTGACCTTTTCACCTTCTGTCTCTTTTTGCCATGGCTAATCCCTGCATTTTTTCATTCGGGGAAAAGGTTGTGGTGAGCTTAGAAATGGGACAGGTACATTCTCTGAAATTGGGGCTTACTTAGAACATAGTTACATAATTTTCTTTTAGTGGAAGAGAGGTGGAGAAGATCTTTTAGCAGGCCTGGAACAGTGGCTGCTGTTGACCTTGTAAGAAGAGAAGAGCCAAGGATATTGCCGGTGGATTTCAAAAGGCCATAGGATTTGGCAGTGAGCCGTGAAGGCAGACAGTCAATAGGATGCTTATAGTTCCTCACAGCAGGATTCCTATGAACTGTTTTTCTCCAGTGGAAGGGAGCCTTTTAGAGTTTCTCAGTTCTTTTCTTGGTATTAGTGTGATGGTGGTAGTTTGGAATTTAGTGCAGTGTCATACACAAATATCCCACAAGGAGGGAGTGTTTCACTTTCTGATGATGAACTTGATGGTCTTTATTGTCATTATAATCCTGAGTAGTGACCTTGTGATTGTTGTAGCTCCCTTTGATCAAAGAAATGTAGCTTTTCAAGTATAAACTTGGAAGTCTGCTGAATCCGGTGGTCATTTTCAATGATCCTTGTCAAATTGAAAATATTTTCAATGGGATGTCTCCCTATACTCTTAAGTAAGCAAACATGGCAGGCTTTGCTTTCTGGATCCCAGGATTAAAACCAACCCCCTCCCACTGCTTAAAAACAAAAACAGAAGGACACCTGGGGGCAGCGAAGAGAGTCCACCTGAGCTCTGCCCCAGTGGTTTGTTGTTTGCATCCACTTGGCCTTTCCTCCTTGGTTATCTCCATCAGGTATGGAGGTATTGCTGGAGGAGAAAGGAGGAAGCTCACTGCTGACAGTCTCCTTCTCTGACAGAACAGGGTCATCAGCTTCCAGAGGCCATCATAGATGATACTCTTTTTGTTTCAGCTGCCAGTAAGTTTTACAGGAATGACATGGGAAAAAGAAGGACTCCAGGTTACTTCAGTTGCTTTGCCAGTTGACTTGGGGTTGTTTTGTACCATCTTTACCTTTCTCGCTTGAACCTCTCTGTTTGACCATCCCTTGGGCATTCAGGGAAGTATCTGCTCGCCCCCACTTTGTGGAGACCAAGGGTTCTCAGCCTCGAGGTTGCTGACTCTCAGGTGATGGGGAACTTGATGACTTTCTGCTTCAGGCAGCAAAGGGCAGGGCTGATACACTCTGCAGATAGTTGCTGGGCAGGCTCATTATCACCCAGACTTCCTAGTTGGGCTCATTGTAATTGCTTTGCAAAGAGGAGGAAAAGTGAGGCACGGAGAGCTTACTAAAAGAAAGGATAGAAATGACAAGCTGTGACCTTGTCTGAAAGATGATCAATAAAAACTGTATGGTAGCTTTTTTTAACTTTCTTCCTTTCCTTAAAACATAGGTCATTACCTGTGATATTATTTGTTTTCTAAGCAGTATGTGAGATGTTTTCTAAGCAGTATGTGAGATGTTTAATGTAGTTAGAGGTTTCTTCAAATTGTCTAATGGACACAATATGCCTTTCTGGTGTATACTCAAATTCAGGATCTGCTGGTGCTTAGAGACAGCTTCCTGGACTGGAATTAAATCTAATTTCAGGGAAATGAAATTTGAAGGTTACTTTTAGAATTAAATCATGGATGCTGCTGCTGTTAACGAAGTCTGAATAGAAAGATCCATGTTTGTGACAAAGGGTGATAGAGAAGGCTAAGGGAGAGTAAAATCACGTGATACACTGAAATGACTTTTGTTTTTTCTTCTAACTCAAACAAAACTGGCTTGGAAAGTCTTTGCTTTGGAAGTGTCAGATATTAGAACAGGCTGAATTGGATTGTTGGTGACATGCCCAGGTAAGAAGGCCTCAGGAGGAAGCAGGGATCTCAGGCAGGCATGCTTTCCACCATCTAGGAGCCTCTGCTGTGGCTGACGGGTACAGACAGCCCCTGTTGGTACCCCCTCTTTCTCTAGGGGCCCATCTTCAGATTGGAGTTGGAACAGTTTCAGAATTGATGTTCCCTTTCTGGACAGACCTATCCCCACTTTAAAGCTCTAAGAGAAGAGATATGGCAGGAACTATTTATGAGGCTTTAGCTGAAGCCATAGTGGCAGGAAAGTTGAGGAACAAACTTAATCTTTAAGGGAACCACCTTTCGAGGGTTGTTTTTTTTTTCCCCTGAAAGTATTCCTTTAAACAAGCAAAAAAAAAAAAAGCAAGAAAGAAAAGAAAACTGTTATACAAATTAAAGAGACATGGGTGCTAGTTAAGACTAATCATCTCCCCCTGACAATCCTCTTTTCTCTTGCCAAAGCAAAATATGGCCTCACAGCCCACACCAAACCATTGCCTACACCCTCCTTGTCTCTGCGCCTGCCTGGGAGTCAGTCAGCTCTCAGGCCTGGCTGTGTGGGGCCAGCCAGCCCTTGCACACAGCCAGGAGTGTGGGGAAGGGCTGCTTCTGGCAGCTGAGTGGTCACTTGAATTCTAGTACATGGTTAAAACATGGTGAAGGCGAGGGAAAATGATTTTTCCAAACTAAGAAACCACTTTTTTTCCCCCATCAGTCACATAGAACTTATACAACTACTCATATTTTTGATGGGTTTTTTTCAGCTCTTAAGATGAAGGAGTAAATTAAATTAAATCATTGTGAAAGATCTTTTAGGATCTAAAAATAAAATGACTTCTCCTGGCACGTATTTCAAAGCAAAGACTTTGTTGCCTGCTGCTTGTTGTCTAATTTACAGGGATATTTAATTTTGTAAGGTATTTGTATATTTATACAGCTGTAATTAATTGCACATTGGACTGGAAAAGAAAGGATGACCTAGCGTGTAGCACCTATCGGTACTCTGCATTCCCTTGTGCTCTTGGGTTCTCCCGGACAGTATCAGGGCTTGTTCGTTCGTTTGTTTGACTTGGGTCCTTCATTTATCCTTTTGGTTCCCTTTTTAAAATGTGATTGTTAACTTGCTCCTTAAAAGGAAAAGACTAATTCTGCTGCTGCTCTCAGAAGGTTTGCTGAATGTATTTTAAAAAGGACTCTAACTCATGCACACTGCAGCTGTCCACCGTGGCCAATAATGATTCACCCAAGTGTGTGGCCAAACCATTACTGTATGTAGAAGGAATGTATTGATTTGTGTTTCCTTAATAAATTGAAATTTTAGCTGAGAGATTATCTGCTATTGTTGTTCAAAAGGCCATTTATGAAATTCGTATTTGAGCCCCATAAAATCTTAGGAAAACCTCTAATCATTTAAAGGAAGAAATTAGAGTTGATGTAAATTTCATGTTAAAAAGTCACAGCAAATGGCTATGCTCAGATGGAAAGTCTGAGCTGAGGTTGGTCTCTTGCCAAACCCTGGCTGTTGTGTGTTGTTTTCATGTCTTCGAGGTAATTTTTTCATGCTGCATATTCTGGCATCAGTTCACCTAAGGAATCCATCAGCCTTCTCACGTTTGAAGAATTGTCTTAGACTTTGTGGCTCTAAAGTACTTGTCTATTGAGATTTAAAGTCTCTTGTCACCATCCTCATGCACTACAACAAAACCCATGAAGCATAAGTGGCCTTTTTGAACCAAGACTTTGCAAACTGATCTCTACCCAGTGAAGGAGTTGAGCACATTAGCAACAATGTACATTATTAATTTCAGATTTTCATTTTCATGTTTTATTATGTAAATATCTGATGTTTGGAGCTTGAGTATACAGAATGTAAATATAGTTCTTGTATTTGTACTAATTCTGGTTCTTTTGCTGTATAGCCTTAGATGTGCAATGCAGACATTATCTAACTGTGTATGGTAACCTTGCATCACGGAGCTATTGGTGAACAAGGTAAAAATAATAAAGGTGCAGCCAGTGCCATCAGAAGGCTCTTGATGTGCATTTATTCTTGCACCCTTTGAAAGGTATTTACAGAAAGATTTTTCTTGATTTGGAAAAATATTTTTCTGGGACAAAAGTCTCAATGCTATGATCTATGTGTTCCTTTCTGATAATTCAAAACAGCAGTTATTATGTAATCAGGAAAGCTAATGTGCTGTTTCTCTGAAAGCACTTTCCTATGGAAGTGGCTATTTCAGGTGGAAGATTTGTCTTTTTTTCTCCTGAAGCTTCTCTTTATATACCTACTGATGATTCTGTAGTGCTGTTCGGGGGTTTTTTCGGGGGGCATGGGGGTGGAGGGTTTGAAATTTTCACCATGTCAGCTTAATTTAACAAGTTCCCGTTGTGAGCAGAGGATGAGCAGGGACCACTGTCCTGGGTGCTTAGGGACAAACAGAAGAAGGGAGGGAGAAGCAGCATTCACGCAAAAAGGAATGATTCATTCAACTCATATCTGAGTGCTGACCCTGTGCCTGGTGTGCCTTCTGGATGTTTCAGCAGCAAACAGAGCAAGCCCTGGCACTCATGGCCCTGCCATTCCAGTGAGGAAAGATACTAGTTACACAAATTTAGAATGTCAAGTGTAAGTATTACAGAGCAAAATAGAACTGCGTAAAAGAGAAGGAATGGGAAGGAGGCATCTAATTTTTTAGATCATGTGATCAGGGAAGACCTCTCTTGGGAGATGACATTTGAGTATACTTGTGAATGAAAGAATGGGTAAGCCATGCAGATCCCAGGCAAAGAAGTCTCTAAGCAGAGAAATTAAGCCCTTGAGGCAGCACTGTCCTCAGTAGGTTCCAAAAATACCAAAGAAGCTGGTGTGGAGTGAGGGGGAGAGCACTAGAGCCATGATATCAGAAAGTAGCCAGGGACCAGGTGGATTAGGGCTGAGGTGCCTTTAATTTCATTAGAGTGAAATAGGAAGCCAGTGAAGGGTTTTGAGAAGATGAGTTACATGATCCTATTTGTGTTTTTCAAAGACGGTCTGACCTCTAAGTGGAAACAGCCTGTGTTTGGAGGGTCGAGGGATGCAGTGGAAGAAGGGAGAAGCACAGGAAATGGTTGCGCTGATGTTCCAGGGGGGATGGCAGCTTGGACCTAGGTAGGAGCAGTGCGGGCGGGGAGAAATGGTCAGATTCAGGATAGGTTTCAATGTTAGAGCTAAGAGTTTGCTGAGGGATTGCATGTAGAGTCGCAGAGAGAGGAGAAAGGTAACTCAAGGATGTGTGCCTGAGCAAAAAGAATGGCGCTACAACTTCCTAAGATGGAGAAGATTGGGAGGAGAACAGTTAAGGGGTGGTACTGAATTAAGAATTTGATTTTGGTCATGTTCACTTTGAGATATCAACATTTCCACCTGAATGTGTAGTCGAGGAGGCAGTTGGATGCACTAGTTGGATTCATGGGGAGAGGTTGGGACTGGAGACATCCATTTGGGAGTTGTCAGCAGGAAGGTGACACATAAAGACAGGAGGTGAGGAGACCTGGAGAGTGAGTGTCACTGGTGAGAACCAAGGGTTGTGTCTTGGGGCACTGCAACATGTAGAGGCCAGAAAGAGAGAGGATGATCCAGCAAAGATGAGAAGTGGCCCGTGGAGAGAGTGATACTTGGCAACCAAGTTAAGGAAGTCTTTGAAGACGGAGGAAATGATAACTGTCCAGTGCAGCTGACAGGCTAAAATAAGAACTGAGCAGCGACCACAGGTTTTAGCAACAGGGAGGTCTAGGAAGTTTGAGGGAACCAGTGAATACCCTTATTTTTTCCCAGTTCCAGAGCCAACCAAGAAACAAAAAATAAGGCAGATGGGAGATCAAAATATCACCTTTATTACTGTTGAAGGTGCGACTGGAGCATGTGGCTTACATCTGTGTGTAAGTGGATTTCCTCCTACTGAACCTCAGAATTAGAGGATTGGGAGCAGTGCTTCTCGAACTTTAATGTGCACCAGACTCACCTAGGGATCTACTAAAATGCAGATTCTGGCTGAGTAGGCCTGGGGTGGGGCCTGAGATTCTACATTTCTAATAAGCTTCCAAGAGATGTCAATGCTGCTGTTGTGGCGCCCCCTCTGAGTAGCAGAAATATAGAGGAACAGCAGAGGATGTTCTTGAAGGCAGCCGGGATCCTCAGGGAGGAAGGAAGTGGCTGGGCTGTCCATGCCTGGGGGTTACCTTCCAAACTCACACGATTATTGTTTCTCTCCTGGGGGTATGTGAAGGACTGTGGAAAGCAGGAATGTTTCTGAAAGGGAGCTCACCTCACCTGGGAGGAGATATCAGGAGTGCCTCTACTGTAGCAAGGTCATTGGTGAGGAGAGCATTTTCGTGAATTGTGCTGTGAGTGGTGCCGAAGAAAGCCTAACTGGAGTGGATTCAAGGGAAAATGGGAGGAGAGAAAGTTGGCAGAGTGAGTACAGATAATT